AGAGGCAAGAGGGTATCTATTTCTTTGGAGACTCTGTTATTGAGGCTCTTTCCCTTGGCACCCTGGAGCTTGCAGTGCGGGGTGATTGGGAGAATAGCTTTCGCCATGCCGATATCTGGTTTGGGGCCATATTTAGCTGTACTTTCTGCTTAGTCCTGGCTCTGTGGTCAGAGATCACTCTTGGAAGTGCTCAGTGGACCATATAGGGTGCTGAGGATGGAACCTGATTGACTCTCTGAAAGGCAAGTGCCTTACCCACTATTGCTCCAACCATACTAATGTAATAGCACTTGAAAATCTGTGGTCCGAAGCTGATGGTGATAAAAGTGGTTGCTTTATAAACAGAAAAACTGAGGTCATCAGTTTATAATTCATAAAATGCAACAGCACTTTCCAGGACAATTATGGCGTGAAAACCATTCATTTCCAAGCCCTCTGAAAGGCCCACAAATCAACTTGCCACTCACATAAATAAAATTGCAAATGAGATAGAAGAGCCGTGTTATTTCAGACCCCCCCGACGAAATAACCTTTTTGTAGTTGGTCTCCTTCATTATGGTGATGGTTTTTGGGTTTTTTTTTTTGGTAATGGTTTTTAAAAATATGTTTTGCTTGTAGCTGGACAGATAGTACAGTTAAGGCACTTGCCCTTATGTGGTCAATTTATTTTGATCCCAGGCGCCACATATGGTTCCCCAAGTCCCGCCAGGAGTGTCTCTAGGCACAGAGCACGGAGTCAGCCTGAGCACCACTGGGTGTGGTCCTATCTCCTACTCCCCTCCAAATATTTTTCACTCATAAAGCAGGCAAATAAATAGTAATCTTAATGCTCTACCACAGATTATAATACAAAAAATACTACATTAAAATAAATAAATGGTAATAGTATCGACTATATGTTCGCTGCAGATGTTCCTTGAGCAGTGAGTCCTGTAGTTTATGCATCATGTAATCTTGAGAAAGAGGAGGGACTAATTGAAGGCAGAGAGAGCCACATTTGCCCAGCAAGAATTCTGCAGGCAAGCCATCTTTTCTACTTACTTGTTTTTCTCCCATGATGCCATGATAGCAGAGAAATCTATACCTCCATTTGGTGGGGGAGGGGGCACACCTAATGGTGCTGAGGGCTTATCCGTGGCTCTCCTCTCAGGGATCGCTCTGGTGGTGCTTAGGGGACCATGTCAGACATCAGGGATCAAACTCGGGCCAGTTGTGTGCAAGGAAGCGCCATACCCTCTGTACTACTGCCCCAGCCCCTCAACATCCTTCTTTAAAAAGATGTATTGAGGTAACAGTTTCTAACATGGTTCGGGTTGCAGGATTATAATCTGAGTTCTGTGTAGCTGCATCATGATCCCCACCAAAAGTTTAATTTCCATCCACAGCCACTCAGCTGATCCCCTGACACAGTTAATAAATACTCCCAAGCCCCTGCCTGGAAACCACCAGTCTGTTCTCTGAATGCCTTATATTTTATACTTTTTAATATACTTCATACTTTAGATCCTGGTGCACTGGGTCTTCTAAGGTATATTGGATTGTATATACTGATATATCAGTTCTTATGTAACCAGACCTCGACAGTTTCTCTTGTATAGTCGAATTGTAGTAGTCACTCTCGACCAGTTACTTTTTGTGTATACTTGTGTAGGGATGGGCTGCACAACTATGTCGTTTAATTTTTGTTCAGTCTGCTTAATTCACTTCTCTAGCTTGATTGGTTTCATACCACTGAAACACTCTGTAGGGTCCACCAAGTGCCTTTAATTTTCTAGAATTAAAAATATGAGTACACAGATAAGGAAGGGAATACCAAATAAAGGTGTTGGGAGGATCCTCCCAGGATGGGAGAAGCATGCGGAAAGTAGACTATAGACTAAACATGATTGTCACCCATTGCCTCTTTTGCAAACCACAACACCCAAAAGGAGAGAGAGAACAAAAGGGAATACCCTGCCACAGAGGCAGGGTTGGATGGGGGGATGGGGGGGGGGGGTGGGAGGGATACTGGGATCCGTGGTGGTGGGAAATGGGCACTGGTGGAGGGATGGGTATTTGATCATTGTATAATTGAAACCCAAGCACAAAAATGTGTAAGTCTGCAACTGTACCTCATGATGTCTCACTATTAAAAAAATTTTTAATTAAAAAAAATGAGTACATTGAAAATAATCCCTGTCAGAGACAAAATCAGCACTTAAATTTTAAAAATTATTTTCAGTTGAGGTTTTATATGCTCACCGAATCTCTTGTCAGGGAGCAGCAACCTTGTTCTCAGTTCCCACCAATAAAGTGCACGTGAGTATACACACATACACATATATACATGTGTACGTGTGTGTAAAATAGCAGTGTGATTGGGGCTTCATTTTTATTTTACTGGGGGTCCTCCCAAGCAGATCGGGGTCCTGGGGGCCAATCCCAGTGGTACTTGGCCAACCCGTGCTGGGTGTTTAGTGCCGGAGCAGGGAGGAAGTGCTACTCAGGTCCTGCAGTGATGGGGCCCCCCAGGACCACCTTGCAGGGTCTGACCAGGACATTGTGCTGTGTCCCATCCCTGCCCTCCACCCTGCTCCTGGAGCTTGGGTTTTTTTGTTTTATTTTGCTTCTTCATCATTGTTACAGGTTTAAAAATCACAACGAAAAACAATTCTCCTATAAAAACCTCTACATTTTTTTAAAGGTGGAACAATAGCACAGCATGTAGAGCACTTGTCTTACACACAGCTGACCCGGGTTTGATCCTCAGGACCCCCATATGGTCCCCAAGCACCAGCAAGAATGATATCTGAATGCAGAGCCAGGAGTAATCCTGAACTCTATTGGGTGTCACCCAAAAAAGCAAAATATAAAAAATGATATCTCCTCTGACCTATTTCTCCTCATAACAAACTATGTTTTTTTTTAATTTAATATTGTGTTTCTCTGAATGCTCTATTGAGAGAGAGATCCAGACCACCCAGGTAGTAGACTACAGCCCACACGTGCCTTTGTGCGTCCCCTCTCTCCGGGCCCATCACTGTCTTCCCTCAGCAGTCAGGCCCCACCACCTTCGGAGGTGACGGTTTGTTTTTGTTTTGAATGAAGGCTGTTGTGTAGGCTGTCTCTCAGCTTGTTGGCAGCTGTCTCGCGGGGAGACTGAGATCACACCCGCGAGTAGTTCATTGAGCTCTTCTCTCCTGTGTCTTTATCTGAACCTTCAACACGGAAATCACTTAGCTTTTGTTCCTGGATTATGGAAGCAGTCAGGAAAATCAATGTCTATTACTGGTTATCTCACAGAAGGAAAATAAACTTGTGCTATAGAGATGTGGGTGTACAGGCGGTCCTGTCCTGGTGTCAGACCCTTCAGGAACCCCCCAGTGTCCCCATCTCAGCTCAGGTCCAGCATAGGTGCCCCAGGTGAGTTTCTCAGGGACAGGCGTTGGGGGAGTGCGTGTGAGCATTGGCTGGCCCTGTTGTCTGTGTTTCTGTTTCCTGATGTGGACGATGGGATTCTGGTGACATCCTTGTTGGAGGGGAATGCAGCATCACTTAGCATCATAGATAGTTCTTAGAAATGGTGACCTCCAGTGAAACAGCATGCAATGCAAGCGACTCTACTACCCGCCGATAAACAAAGAGTTTCAGTTCTTGTGACGAATTTCTTCTCACAGAAACATCATCAAAGTCGCCTAAAGTTCCACTATTGATACCTTTATAAGTCATAGTTCTTTAAATAGAAACTTGTATTTAAAAAATCATTAAACTTCTATGGGGCTGGAGAGGTAGCACAGTGGGTAGAGCGTTTGCCTTGCATGCAGCCGACCCAGGTTCGATTCCCAGCATCCCATATGGTCCCCCGAGCACCACCAGGGGTAATTCCTGAATGCATCTGAGCCAGGAGTAACACCTGTGCATCGCTGGGTGTGACGCAAAAAGCAACAACAACAACAAAATCATTAAACGTCTAGAAAGAGCTCAGCATTTCTAAATATACATTATCACTTGTATTTACTCCTCGCATTTACTTGTATTTACTTTGTTTAACTTGCGTTTTCTAGTCCAGTGTCTCGAGGCTTAGCCTTTCCCATGGCTCAAGCATAGGTGGGACTAAAGCTGGACTGGGGGTGGGGGGGGAGGCAAGTAGGGGGCTGGGGGGGTTGTCCTTGAATTAGCCGCCTCTTTAAGGTGAAACTTCTGAAGATGGTGTCACAAATGCTCTGAATAGCTGTATCTCAGGCTCTCAAGTATTTTCTGGATCTCAAGCAAAGACGTAGCTTGCTTCTGGACGTAGCTTGCCCTTGCATCCACTCACTCCATAGAGCAACAGCCTCACTCCCAGCCTGGAGCACAGAGCACAGCACACAGTGGCATCCGTCTCTGGGGTGTTGTTGGTGTCTGCCCCATTGGTGCCCACCAGTGTATGATCCGTCTGCAGACCACACACTTCTCTCCCTTCCAGCAGCAGCTACCTGCCACTGTTTGCACAACTGTTGTCCACAGCCCAGGGCGGCACAGACACTCAGATGGAGCCCCTCACTGCCCTTCCCTCTGCAGCCTAGAAGTATCCAGCGAGGTCCCCAGGACGGGGTGCGGGGAGGGAGCATGCCAGGGCAGAGGGCTGTGGGGTGGTCACCCTTCCTCCCATGGGGCAGGGCGGCAGTACTGCCTCTGAGATGCCTCTGAGATGGTCCCTCTGGGCGTTGCAGCCTGGAGAGGAAAATCTCCCCCACACGGTCCCTCCTCCGTCCTGGGCCCAGCTCCTAGGCATCCGGACATGAAAGAGGCACCAGGCACCCCCTCCCTGCTCCCCACCCCTACCCCCCAGCCCAGCCAGGATGTTCCCAGGAGGGAGCATTTGAAACTGTCTTTGGTCCTTAGACCTGCGCTGGCAGCAGGAGCACTGGGTTTGCCGTGACAGGAGCAGCGTCGGGGCTGGGTTTCCCCGAAGGAGCGCCAGAGAGCCTGGCGCTGAGTCCCGACTCCTGAACGAGCCCCTCTCATCGCTCTCCCCGCAGCCTTCAGCACAGCCAAGTGTGAGAAGCTGCAGAAGGAAAAGGAGGAGCTGGAGCTGCGGTTTGAGGAGGAGGTGCGGCGGCTGGGCTGGCAGCAGCAGGCCGAGCTGCAGGAGCTGGAGGAGCGGCTGCAGCTGCAGTTCCAGGCCGAGCTGGCGCGCCTCGGGGAGGAGCACGGCGCGCAGCTGCTGCGCATCCGCGGGCAGCACCAGCGGCAGGTCAGTGCTCAGGCTGCAGCCCCGCGGCCCTGCCACGGCATCAGCCCATCCTGTTCGGTCGCGAGCTGGGCTGACGCTCTTGCTCCCACTTGCCTCTCACTTTGACCTCTGACCCTTGCCCTGCCCACGCTCCCACCCAGCGCGTTGGCCCCCTGCGCCCTGTCCCTGCAGACACTCTGTGGTACCCACCTTGCCCCTCCCGGCCCCCACACCCTAACACCACCACCACTTACTCTTCGCTGCCTCCTCCAGTCTGCTTTAGTTTTCCTCAGCTCTTATCAGGAAAGTTATTGTCGTGTTTAAGGTGGTGCCCTTTATTCTCTGCATGCTCCCTCCGCCAGCTCAGGGCTGGTAACACCAATACGCAGATCCAGTCCACGTCCACCCCAGGCTCTGCGCTCACCTCTTGTGCTCACTCCCTTCCCGGCCTAACAGCCCTTCCTGGGAGCCTGGAGAGGCAGTACAGCGCAGGGCACTTGCTTTGCATGATACTGACCCAGGTTCCATCTCCTGTACCTTTTATGACCCCAGAGATCCCATCGGGATGATCCCTGAGCACAGAGCCAGAATTAAGCCCAGAGCACAGCCGGAAATAGTCCCCAAACAAACAAATAACCCTTCCAGGTAGGGGGTGCTACTTATCTCCATTTTACAGGTGAGAAAACCAAGGCCCGAAGTCAGAGAACTCCCTTATATTGACAGGCTGCTCCTGGAGACGCCAGGGTTGAAGCAGGTCTAGCTCCAGAGTCCATGCACCTGAGCTTGGAAGTAGAGTTTTCCTCCAGGTTCCTGGCTCACCCCGGGAGGCTGGCAGGGCCTGCACAGAGCGAGCCCTCAGGAGGCCTTTGGCCCTCCGAGGTGTAAATGCCTTGAGTTCTCCTCAGCCCAGCAGCCTTGCTAGACGGGGCCATGCATCTCCGGAGTAACTGGAGACCGGTTCCCACCACCAGCCGGAAGGAGGTCGGTCCGGGCCCTCCCACAGTGGCTACCCGTGCTCCCGCAGCTCACTCTGCTCCCAAGAGAACTTGCTGTCTCTTCTTTCTAGCCCTTAGGGCTCTGACACCATCACAGTCTCTTACACAGCCCCAGGGGAAACTAGAGCTCAGAAGGGCCCCCCTGAGAGCTGGGATTCCTGCTGAGCCACCCTGCTGAATCATCATCAGTCTGGGGTGCCTGCTCCCATCTGCTTCCAGAGAAGTGACCTGGTCCTGGAACTCCAACGTGAGACACGGCCACAGGAGAAATTTCAGTGAAACACCCGGGTTCTCTCGTGGCGGTCAGTCACATCTGTTGATTCTGTTCAGGCTGGTCTGTGTCCTCGGGGCCATAGAAACCAGATCTGCCTTAGGCTTGCGGGGTTGGAGACGTACAATCTGGGAAGTGGACCAAGTTAGAGTTCAAGTTACCACTGTTGCCAGCCTTTGAAATGGAGCCTGTGGACCGGCTCCAGATGCGCTGAGCAGAGTGCCTGTCAGTGGGCCATTGTCAACGATGACTGATGCCATGGCCAGAGACTCACTCTGCCGCTAATGTCCTCTGTGGCCCAAAAGTGGGTTGAGAAGATACTGAGACTGTGTGCGTGTGTGTGTGCGGGGGGGGGGGGGGGGCACACATTGGGGTGCCATGTATGGAAGATGGAAGCCCCACACTTACAGGAGCACCCCCTGGGAGATGGGCCCTGTGCTGGCCTTGAATTGAGAGTGCAGGAGCCTTTCTGAGATTTCCCACGGAAAGGCTTGCAAGACAAGGAACCCTTGATGTTTGCCCTGGGGAAGGAATTCCATCCAGATGTGTGTGCATTGAAAAAATGCTCCCTCTTTGGGAACCTTGAACTTCTGTTTTTGATCTTCTCCAAGGGCAAAGACAGTTTATTTGTAGTATTCATCTGCTTATGCAAAGAATAGTTTGGTGAGTGCCTGCTATATACACGGCCTCCCAAAAGGGTCCTGCAAGGCATCTATACGATGTGGTTTTGCTGGACCATGGCCCCAGAGTTGGCCCCAGGGAATGTTCAGAGACAAGAACCCCCAAACCTATAACACAGGGTGAAAAATACAGATGGTGTGTTTAGGGATTGAGAGTTTATACTTCCAGCTGGGAGGAGAGGGCGAGACTAGAGGGAGAGCGGCTGTTGAGTGCCTTCCTTCTAGTCCTCTCCCTAAGAAGCCCCTTGGTTTGCAGGAGAGAGATGATTTAGGTCTGTGAATTATTCAGCCCTCAGTTCTTCTCCTGCTGATTGTTGACTCTTATCCCAACTTCCGTCTTCTCCAGCAGAGAGCACGCAAGCCAAAAAATAAGAAAGAAGGTGAGATAGGAGCTGATTTCCAGGTGATATCGATGTGTTTGCCTAGGCCCGGGGAAGACTCCAGTGCGTGACTGCAGTGGAGAGTTGGATGTTAGTGGCCTCCTGCACATTCGGCAGTGCTCGTCCCACGGGTGTGGCAGCTGTTCATTTTGGAGCCTTATACATTCGGCCCACTTGACCCCTGCAGGGGTCCCCACGGAGAGTGCTCAGAGAGAGGCTACTTTGCTCTGGCAGGGTTTTCTGAGCTCTGGCTGGGAACTCGCTTGCTCAGACCGTCAAACCTGTGAGTGTATGGCAGGGTCTCCCCATGAATAGCCCGGCCACCCTCCTCCCAGGCCAGAGCAGGCTCCGTGGGACACTCCTGGGAGTTCCGAAGGGAGCACTGCAGGAAGCCTTCCTCCTCCTGTTCAGCCCACACTCAGCGAGTCGGAATCACTCGTGGAAGCAAAATTACAAGTTTGGGCTGCTAGCCCACAATTCAGTTTCCCGAAAGACCACCAAGGAGCTGACTCTGATGCAGGCGCAAGAGGATCTTTATTGACTAGCTCGAGCTAGGGCCCCCGTCTGGCTCACCCACACAGTGGCTTGTGAGTGGCCCCGAGCTACAAAAGCCCAGAGTTTTTATACATAACAGCTACATGATGGGGGCTTTCCATTGGCAATGGTCTAGGGGACTTTCCATTACTTAGTGACTTTTGGCTGGGTGGAGGTGAGGGTACATGGGGCAGACATGGTGAGGTCTTTCCTGGTCTGATTAGATTAGATGCTCTGGCTAGTGTCATGTCTGATTACTTGTTCTGCTGACCTCGCTGCTCTATTTTGGGGAAACAGCAACTCAAGTTTAGGGGCCAAAACTCAGGCCTAAGTCCTCACTGAGGCCGCATTGGCTTCTCTATTTTTCAGGACCTCGGGTCATTAGAAGTTCTCCTGGACCTTGAACTGAGGGTGTCCGTGAGAGCTGCAGAGTCCTGTTTTTGGCTTCTTGTCTCCCCGAATACCAAAGGAAGGTGGGAAGGATTGCGTTTTCCAACTCCCAGTCATATTACGAATCTATAGTAGTTGAAACTGCGTGGAGGGGCCAGAGTGATAGTATAGTGGGTACAGTGTTTGCCTTGCAAGCAGTCAACCTGGGTTTGATCCTTAGTCTCCCATATGGTCCCCTGAGCACTGCCAGGAGTGATTCCTGAGCACAGAGAGCCAGGAGGAACCCCTGAGCATTGCATGGTGTGGCCCCAAAACAAACAAACAAAAAAATAAACCTGTATGGAATCAGAATTAAATATTGACACACAATCAGGGAAGAACTGGAAGTTCTGAGGTATATCTTTAGATTTATAGAGAATAACACGACCTGTGATAAAGGCCTAAGTACATGAAGTGGAACAAGGAAAATCTTTTCAACAAATAGTGATGGGAAAACCAGATGGTCTCTGTAAAAAACAATGAAATTGCCTCTTGGGTCTTTTAAGTGACTTTAAAGACAGGCACATGACCTTTATTTTCAAGTATGATTGTAAACTTAGATTAAAATTGCACTCTCAGGACCAGAATGATAGTACAGTGGGTAGGGCACTTGCTTTGCGTGTGGCTGACCCAGGCTCCATGCCTGGCTTCCCAGATAATTTCCCAAACTCTGCCAGGAGTGAGTCCTGAGTGCTGAGCCAGGAGTAACCCCTGAGCATTGCCAGGTTGGCCCCCAAACAAAAATAAAGTAAAACCAGTACTCACCTACAGCTAAGTCCACGTCAATGGAAGACGACTTCCAGAACTTCCCTTTCTGGAAGGGACAGATCATATCACACTCATGCTCAAGCCTTTGCCTTCCTGCTCCCCACACAGTGCCCCCTCAGCTCCACTTCCAGTGCCCCATCTGGGATGCCTGGCTGCCTTTAACATTTCCCCAAAGATGCTGAGCTCCTCAGACACATGACTTGTGAACTTGTGGCCCTGTGACCCAGAGTGGGCAGAGGCTACTCCGCCAGGGCCTTGCTCCGTGTGTCCAGGGCTCTCAGGCACCACAGCACCAGCAGCAGAAACAAGCTCTCTCTAACCAACAAGCATGAGGTCGTTGTCCCTCAGCACCAGAGTCCCTCTCCCCACTCCGCACCCTGTGACAGCCATGAGGCTTTCTCTGCTGAAAGGAGGTGAGGCCAGGCCACTGGGGAGCTCAGATGGGGCCAATAAGCACATGCTGGCGTGGGACCAGAGCCAGCTCGGAGGCTCCAGCACGCTCGCTACCTGCCCTGAGTCAGTCCCCAGGTACAGCAGCAGGTGCGGGAGGGCAGAAACCTCAACCTTCTCTGTAGAGGAGTCAGTGAGAGAGGCCTGAGTGGGCTTCAGAGTGTCTGAGGTGCAGGCTGATGTGAATTTCATCACGTTTGGATGTCATAAGTAAAACTGAGACCGTGTAAAGCACTTCATTCTAAATGACATGGGAATCGCCGATGCCTGCAGCCATTGGGTCACTGTCTTCTCACACCCATCCCAGAAGGCGCCTCTGCCTCCCTCTACCCCCAGTCACCCAGCAGAGCACGCACAGCCTCGGGCTGGAGTCTGCTGCCTGGAACCGACTGACTCTTTGCGGCGTAGGGACAGTTCAGCCTATGGGCACATTGACGCCTCCATGCTCGGCCTGCAGGAAGGAGGGGGAGCCGCAGTGGCCGAAGGGGGCACCACGGGTTCTGACAGGGAGAAAAGCAGGGGGACATCTCCCAGGGCACTGGTTCAGCGCCTTTTGCCTCTGATTTAGTGAACTTCACTGAATGCAGAAAACCACCTCGAGGTACCCCAGAGTCCCCTCCAAGGTCTGAAGGTGGCAGGAGACAGAATTCCTGCTGATAGTCAGAAAGAAATTAGGAGTGTGGGGAGCAGCGCCCAGGAGGTAAATTCTGGAGAGAGGAGGGTCAGCAGCGGACCACCCCTTTCTCATGGGGGGACAGGGTCCCTTTCAACGTTACAAGATGTGCAGACACAGGCTGCAGTGATAGTACGTTGCCTTGCACACAACCAACCCAGGCTCGATCCCTGGTACCACAGGCGTCCCCGCAGGAGTGACCCCTAAGCACAGAGACAGAAGTAAGCCCTCAGTACTGCCAGATGTGGCCCCAAAACAGAACAAAGCAAATCCACGAAAGAGCAGGGATCATTGTGCCCAATCCAGACTCGTTGACTGTCCTTGCAGTCGCCTCGAACTTAAGGCTGTATGCTCACTCATACAGGCTCCCTGAGGGGCTCTGCTCTCGGGGTCCCACCCATCAGTCCTCACGTGTTGGCGAGACTGCCGCCAACCCACAGACCCAGTCGACCAGGGGGATGTGATCTGGTCACAGGCAGGTTACCATCAAGTCAGCAGTACCCAGAGCCCCTCTGCAGCTGGGTGCGCTCACCCTTGATTCACCAAGAATCAGTGCAGGAGTGTGCTGGAGCCAGAGCGAGGCCCCTCACCATGCAGAGTGCAAGTCACAGCCACCGCCTCACAGGCGAAGCAGGAAACAAAGGCGTTCCTCACTCTCTTTCCCAGGGGGTTATTTTTCCCAGAGACTGAAAGACGTTGGACAAGGATTCCATCCAAACCTTGTCCAAGTGGGAAAGAGACCACTAACTGCGGTGGTCCTCAGCCTCTCTGTGGGCTGGATTCACAGCTCTGAGCCCCGAGCAAACGACAGTTTCCCCGGGGAAAGAGCAGTAAATGAAACCTGCCGTTTCCCAGAGCTCTTCAACTCAGTGTTGGTTTTACCTACGGGCTTTCTCTTGCAGTGAGCTCTGCAGGAGAGAAGTCAGGCAGATTTCCCCCAAGAAACTGACCAGTATCTAGAAGGGAACACTCCTGTTTCTGTGTATAAAAACAGCTCTGCCTGCATTTCAGAGTGAGCCGGCCTCAGGAACCTTCTTCCTTCAAGGTCAGGTGTGTCCTGGCCAAGGAGGGCTCATGAGAGGCGCTCAGTATCACCAGCTAGAGGCTGGGCTTCCTTTTGGTTTGATTTTCCTGGGGCACATGTGGTGCTCCTACACCCAGCTCTGTGACCAGGAGGGCCCTGGAATCTAACCATGTTTTCTTCATGCAAAGTATGCACTTAGCGTGTGCTCAGCCCATTGCTATCCACCCCCCCCCCCCCCCTTAACTGCTCAAAGACCTGGATGTATTTTCCGGTTCAGTGTTTTTCAGAAGCCAGATTTTGACATGTTTGTAATTCATGAAATGAAGTTAGTGCTTTGTAGGTGACTTTATTTATAAAAGCAATAAAATGCTATCAGCCAGGTAACAAAGGAAACTATTGTTTTCTGACCCTTGCGTCTGAGTTAGAGTGCACACTCGCACCCTGGATTCCTGTTTCGTGGTACTTGTCTCCGGGGTTCACCTGCAAAAACATTGGGACAACTCTGGCCTGGGGCTCGCCGTCGAAGGAAGAGGATATTTTCGGGAATCTGGCAAGCCACATTTGAAGTTAAAGCAAGAGCCACCAAAGCAGTGACCATAGTGGTTGTGGGAGGGATGGGCAGAGTGTGCAGGGAGGTGGGGAAGGGGAATGTGGGCTACAAGAGTCCCCACCATGCGAGTCTGCTGCTGCAAATGCACCTTCCACCGGGAACAGCAGCTCCTCCTTCCCAGGCCCCATCCATATGGCCAGTGGGAGTCTAGGTTACTATCAGGCAGGAGGGCAGGTGCAGCAGCGCCCACAGCCCTGCTTGGTGTTTGGTTGCAACACTCGGAGGTACTCGATGCTGGGTTACTTTTGGCAGCAAAAGTGTGTTGGAGGGAACTTCGCCTTTGGAGTCACATAGACCTGGGCTGATGGCTGAGCTCTGTCATTTGTAAGGCCTTGGGCAAGGGTTTTCCAAACTCCGGGCCTTGATGTTCCACATCTGTGAAATGGACATAACACGTAGACTTCCTGTTCCTGTGAGGGTAAAGTGGAACTTAGTAAACTCAGTTGCATCCTTTTGCCTGCCTGCACCCCACAGTACCCCCTGATGCTGAGAACCGCACAGACCCTGTGGTAGGGAGGCCTTGGGATACATAGATACAGAAGGAGGGAGCACAGGCAACCTGGGACCAGAAAGAGATGGCTTTGGCAGCCTGTCCCCTGCAAACACCCGGCCTCAGCACTGCCGTCCCCCTGCCATGGGGAAAAAGGGATGAAAGGGTCCTGGCACATTTCCCTACTCCCCTCCTCACCAGCACAGCTCCTGGCTGTCACCTGGGCTCAGTGGCTTCCAACATTCAGGGCCATTGCGCTTTCCTCTGTGGCTGCCCCACGCTTGGTGTGACCCCCTGTGCCTGCCCCTCAGGTGGAAGACATCAGTGGCAGCCACGAGGCTGCGCTCCTGGAGATGGAAAATAACCACACGGTCGCCATCGCCATCCTACAGGACGACCACGACCACAAGGTCCAAGGTAGCTGCCAGGGCTTGTGTGTGTGCGCGTGTGTGTGTGTACGTGTGTGTGCCTGTGTGTGTGCACGTGTGCGTGTGCATGTGTGTATGTGCATGTGTGTGGGTGTGCATATGTGTACATGTGCGTGTGTGTTGGGGGGCACACCAGTCACCCCTGTCCCCCTCACCGCCTGCTGCATGGAGACGCAGCCTGCCCTTCTGCTCTTCCTCCTGTGCTGACTTTCCTTCCTTCCCCTGTGTTGGGTTCCTGTGGGAAGAAGGGTTAGAAATGTGGGGTCCAGGTAACTCTTTTCTCATGCAGCTTCTCCCCTCCTTACCTAGATATTGGAGTCCAGGGCAGGGAAGCTGGGGGGATCTGGGACAGGAAGCAAGCAGCACCCCTTGTTTCTGGGGAGCTGGGCTGGGTAAGGCCTATAGGCATCAAGAGGTGTTAGAGCTTTAACGGGATTCTAACGGGTCACTGAGCTTGACAGCCAGCTTTGGGCGTGGGAATCCTTGATTTTGTCTGGGGTAGCTTATAAAATTAACTGATAACCCTGTTTTGTGGTTTCGGGGCCACAGCAGCCCTGGACGTCCCTGGGTCTCCGCCTTGCTCTCACAGAGCATGTTCACTGTGGGCTGAATTTGTGCCTTTGTGTAATTTTGAGTTCTCATCGGATCCCATGGGTCTAGTGTGGGTTAAACAGCAATGGCCACCTTTACCAAGTGCTACCAAGATTCTGCCTTTGCCAAAGCTTTTTACACTCTAGCATTTTTTTCATTCTTATATACAATTCATTTTCTTTTTTCACTTTTTATTTTCAGTTGGGTGGTTGTTAGATTGAAGACAAAGAAAGTTAACCATTGGTTAAAAAAAAGTTTTGATTTGAAAATTAACATGAGTTTTTAAAATTTGTATCCATTGTAAACCACAGAGTCTACTGTGGGGCAATTAAGTCTCTTGTCATTGCCCCCCTGGGACCCCAGCGCACCAGGTAGTAGGAGGGAGAGGCCTTTCCACAAATGAGCCTCCATCACTCGTGTACCCACACTGGATCTTCAGCTCTGAACACCAGTTAAACCCTGGGGTGCACATCATCGGAGCCACCTGGATTTTTGGGTAACTACCTAATGCTTAGGTCCTGCTGCAAATCTAATTTAGCTGCTCTAGGTTGAAGTCAGACATCAAGATTGTTAAGGCTCCCCAGGTGATGCTAATAGACAGCAAGAGTTGTCAATCGTTGGGGCTGAAGATACAGTACAGCAGGTAGGGCTTTTACCTTGTATGAGGCTGATCCAGGTTCAATCCCTGGCATCCCACATGGTCCCCTGATCCCAACCAGGAGTGATCCCTGAGCACTTCTGGGTGTGTTTTCCCCAAAACAAAACAAAAAAGTTGCCAGTCATAGTCTTCAAGCACAAAATCAAATGTAGGACAAGTTGTTACAACCTTACAGTAAATGAGCTGCTTTCCTTTTTTTTTTCCTTTTTGGGGTCACACCCAGTGATGCTCAAGGGTTACTCCTGTCTCTGCACTCAGGAATCAGCCCTGGCAGTGCTCAGGGGACCACACTGGATGCTGGGATTCGAACCCGGCTTGGCCACGTGCAAGGCAAATGCCCTACCCACTGTGCGATCTCTCCAGCCCCAATGGGTTGCTTTCTGGGTATGCAGATATCAGTCATGGTTTATAGCATCTGGACTAGATCCTGACTTTTCTTTACTCTTGGGGCCTTAGGGTCCCTTGACAATAGCATAAAGCCTCCCCCTGCCTGTAGGAAAATGGCCTCTGGAAAGGCGCTGTGCTTGGAGGCAGCACCCTGAACTGTAGTGCTGGTTTTCCATGTAAACAACTGGCAGCGTTGTTCTTGCCAATGAAGTTTTACCCAAGGCCTTTGAGTTAGATATTCAAGGTGTCAGAGAATGTAGGCATTTGTAATGGTAGCTGAAGAGTTCATTATTAAGAACAGTCCAGTGCTCTTGATGACTTCTTAAACTGATCATTTAGACACAGGCAGATAGATCAAAAAGCTATGTGGTTCCATGTCCACACAAAGTAAGTACAAATGTGGTTTTTCTTCAAATGTAAATTTCAGCTCTAACAACTGGGTTTCTTAGAGGCCTTCATCATCATTAGTTAAAAGATTTGGGTCAATAGAAACCACAGAGTTTTTCCTAATTGCAGCGCCTGTCAGCCTGGATGATAATTGTTGGTCTCCAGCACCGTCCTGTTCTAAGCAAATGATTCAGGCTGATTAATGAGACCTTTCCTCCTTCCAGTGGTAACCTGAAAACAAATTGCTTGTGTAGCCAGAATGAAATGGGCTTTACCCAGTTAATAAGACTGTTCCCATCTGGAGGAAAATAGAATCCATTTGCTTAATAACTCTTACATGACATCTCTTTCTGCCGAACTTGCAAATTATCACTGGGATGACACTTTTCAAGGATTAGAATTGTTCCAAACTCTTCAAGAGGAACCAATCCAATTAGTCCTTCCTTTGGTCTGTGTTTTTTACTTAGAATCTTTGCTCTTAGCAAATCCTGGAGATTTGCAGTTTCCCAAATGCCACCCCACGGCCCATGTCCTCGCAGACTTAGCACGGCAGCAGTTACCCAGTCACTCCCCAGCTAGCCCTGATGAGCAAGACGGTCCCTCACAACTCCTCATAAACTTCCTTCTTTTTCCCTAAATTTGGATTTATTCATAGTGTGAAAGGAGTGATCCTGAGATCATAAAAAAAAAAGAAATGGAGACTTAACATGGATTGCTTAGTTGTTTCACCAGCAGGAAAAGTCGGGGTGGTGGGAATCAATGAATACCATGGATGGAGAGTCTGACTTGGTGGGACATAATATTGTGGGTAGGGGGCTTGTCCTGCAAGCAGCCAACTCAGGTTTGCACCCCAGCACCCCATATGGTCCCCCGAGCCCACCAGGGGTGATCCCTGAGTGCAGAACCAGGAGTAAGTCCTGAGTACCACTGGGTGTGGACTCCAAACCAAAACATAATAATAATAATAATAAAATGGCAGAGCAGGGTACATCAGTGTGTGCCCCTGAGCACGCGTGACTCCCTCCACCACTTCTGTCCTCTCTCCCTTCTTTCCTCTTCTCTTCCTCTCCCATCTGCTTCACACCACGCACCATTCCTCTCTGCTGGGGAAACTTCTCCAGGTCCCTCTCCTAGCTACCAGTGACCCTTAGTTACCTCCGCTCCTTGTTTTGACAGAGGGTCCGGTTTGATCCTTTTTGAAAGAAAGACCTCTTAACTATGTGCTGTCTTCTCTTCAGAGCTGATGTCTACCCACGAGCTTGAAAAGAAAGAACTGGAAGAAAGTTTTGAAAAGCTGCGGTTGTCCTTACAGGTTAATATTTCATTGTTGCCCCTTGTAGACAGGCATCTAGCTCCCGTTCCACCCTGGGTCCTGCACTAAGCCTTTACTTTAGCGGCCAGCAGGATTCATTTCCTCACCTCAGGCAACTGACCATCTGCTCAGAGTGTGAGGGCCAGTGGCATGTAAGCCTGCCGGTGACACCGACTTGTCCCCAGAGTCCCACAGATTCCTCCTTTGAACGCAGCTCACAGGAGCATCACGGGAGTTCCAAGGGACTGCCCCCTCCACCCCCCCAAGCACACACCGTGCCTGAGAGAAACATCTGTGCCTAAGGACAAGGGGGAGGAGGGGGGGAGAGCTTTCTCAGCAGAGGGGACGGTGGAAGAACTGCAAAGCACAGAAGTGACCGTGAATGCTTGGGAACTGCAAAGGGGCTCGAAGTACCTCCAGCTGGTGCAGTGGGAACCTCTTCTCTGCCATACCTAAGGGCTGGCATTTGCAGGGAACCGCCTGATCTCAAGGGGACAATGAAAGGCCTCCCCTGTTCTCTGCCTCTCCCTCAGCCTCCCAGAGACCCAGAGCCACAGGGACCACCCACACTCCTAGCCAGGAGCTGCCTGGGAAATGAAGTCCACGATGCTGTGGTCATTCTGTGAGGTGTCACTGGGTCATCTTGCCAGATTCTTTGCCAAATATCAAATGCCAAATATACACACGTGTGTATGTGTATATATGTGATTTACATGCTATGTTATATAATGAACATTGTTCATATTGTAGAGAGTGGTAAACATTGTAGAACTCTGTGATTATTATATGCTGCTAACTTCTTAAGTCTGAAAAACAGCTTTTAAGGTGAGAACTATATATTAACAGGTATTTCTATTCCTATGTGTTTTCTTTTTCTATATGGGTCTCCCGGGCTGGAGCGATAGCACAGCGGTAGGGCGTTTGCCTTGCATGCAGCCAACATGGTTTGATTTCTCCGCCCCTCTCGGAGAGCCTGGCAAGCTGCTGAGAGTATCTCACCCGTGCGGCAAAGCCTGGCAAGCTACCCATGACGCATTTGATATGCCAAACACAGTAACAACAGTCTCACAATGGAGACGTTACTGGACCCGCTTGAGAAAATTGATGAACAATGGGAGGACAGTGACAGTGACAGTGATATATCACTGTCACTGTCCTCCCGTTGTTCATCGATTTGCTCAAGCGGGCCCAGTAACATCTCCATTGTGAGACTTCTTGTTACTGTGTTTGGCACATTGAATACTCTCAGTAGCTTGCCAGGCTCTCCGAGAGGGGTGGAGGAATTGAACCCGGCTCAGCCAGTCTGGCTGCGTGCAAGGCAAACGCCTTACCACTGTGCTATCATTCATTCCAGCCTATATATATATATATATATATATATATATATATATTTATATTTATATAGCGGAAGGTGGCCTGGTAAACAGTGGAGGGTGGCTGTGACTGTAACAGCACTGCCCCAGCAGTGAGTGTATCACAGATCTGCCTGAAGAGGGCGGGATACAGACCCTGGGGACAATCACTGGCTGCTTGTCCTGTCCAGAACTGGGGGGCTGGCTGCTGCCAGCACGGTGCCCTCCTTCGACTCAGCAACAGGCCTCCAGTGGCCCCTGCAACCCTCTTTTGTGGCTTGTCCTGGGCAGAGGACTTCCACTAGACTCCCTTGGGTACCCCGCATCTCACTCCAGCAGAAGCAAGCCAGGGCCAGAGAGACAGCACAGGGGTTGAGGCAGTTGCCTTGCACCTCACCAACTGCAGTGCGAATCCCCAGCACTACATAGGGTCCCCCAAGCACAGCCAAGGGTCACTCCTAAGAACAGGCAGGAATAACCCCTGACCACCAGCAGCTGTGACAGAAAAGAAAAAAGAGTGAATGACTGAATGAAAGAGAAAATGAGGGAGGGAGGGAAAAGAAAGTGGAAAGCAGATAGCAAAATAGGAGGCATATGGTCCCCATCCTGTGTATTAAAAGCAAAACAAAAACACAAACCTTCTGGTCCCAAACTGAAAAGAAAGTGAGTTTTGTTTCAGCCCCGACTGTCCACTCCACGGCAGTCCTGCTTCTCCTCCATTCGAGCTATGAGAGTGGATAGTCAGAGGGGCTGAGAGCACTTGGCACAGGAGGGTGCAAAGGCCCAGCCAGCCTCCTTGGGATCCTGGCAGCTGGAGAAACAGGTTTGGTGGTAATAGATTTGAACTTTGTACTTAAATCCCCAGTATACCATCTCTTACTGACTTTGATCTCTTAGTTACACGGGTTCTGTGGCCTCAGTGTGCTCAGGTGTCAAATGGACCAGTAGGACTTTCCCCAAGGTATAGGCACTTTTTTTTTTTGGTATTTGGGTCTCACCTGGCGATGCACAGGGGTTACTCCTGGTTCCGCACTCAGGATTTACTCCTGGCAGTGCTCAGGGGACCATATGGGATGCTGGGAATCAAACCCTGGTCGGCCGCATGCAAGGCAAACACCCTACCTGCTGTGCTATCGCTCCAGCCCCGGCATATGCACTTTTAGAGAAGGAGTGTTTGTAAGGTGTGTTGTAGTGGGTAAATGCTTTATGTCACAGCTGTTGCTATCATTATGCTTTCAAGTGTTGCTACACTTAACCCCATCACTGTCATTGGTTCACTCATGAGTATCCCATTCGAGGCCCGGACATTCACTAGCTGGGTCTTTGCACCTTGTAGCCTAACATCCAGGTGCACGCACAGTCCAAAGTAGTCTCTGTGCTAGGAAAAACCACAGTTTTGTGTCTCAGATCCATCCTTGATAATGCTGGCCTGTTTTTTTTTTTTTTTGGGGGGGGGTTGGTGTTTGGTGTTTGATAGAGGAATAAAGGCTTGAAAGAAAGATCCCCTTTGACAGCACTGAAAAGGCTTGGAGCCGGAGAGCTTGTAGCAATGGTCATTTCTCTGGCGTGCTCTGGAAAGTTCCTGCAGTGGCAACAGAGTGGGGTGGGGCTGCAGGAATCCAACTGGGTTGCCCTGGGCTTTGACTTACATTTGCTGCCTCACAGACCTACAAGCGCCCACTCACCCCTCTGCTGTCCCGAGGCACCAGCATCTGCACTTCCTGGCGCTGTAGGAGCCTTGATTCAGACATGAGATAGGAGCAGTTGGGCAGGGCCGGGTGGGGGAAGCAGCCAGTGAAGCTGCTGAAGTTGGTTTGCAGAACAGGCTCCTCTGCCCAGGTGCAGATCGCCATTCAGGTGGCACTCTGGACCTTGCTGGATCACTGGGGTTAAATTCCTCATTTGCAATACCTGACTCCAATATTCAGTGGCATGAGGCCATTCTCTTGCCACAGTAGTTCATAGGAAGACTCTTGTCCCTGGATTTTACCATTAACAGAAATGGGGGCATTGAATGGAGAACTTTATAACCACAGCACTGCTCGAGACAGGTGCTATCATTCACTCTGCTTGAAAGTCAGGAGCAGGCTCTCTTGACTCCCTGGCAGGAACCAGCATCCTAGACTGGCCTCCATTCCTTCACCTCCACACAGGGCATGCGCTGGCTGTTAGAGATGCAGCCAGCAGGGAGCAGGTGTGAATGAGGACCCCAGACTCTGCTCCCTCCAGGGATGTGCTGTGCAGCCCCATGACCGGAGGGTCAGACAGGGATGTGTCTGGGGAATAAGAGTGAGTGGGGAGCAGACAATGCCAGCAAGAAACAGGAAGGTAAGTGGGTGAGGATTCATGGAGAGCCAGGCTGGGAGAGGAGAGGGACGGAGGGGCACGTGTTACTCTGCATCAGAACAGGCACCTCATGCAGGAAGGCAGCAGGGTTTGACTTGGCTGGGGCTGGTAGGGGGCTTGGCTTCGTACTTTTGGTTTTGTTTCGTTTGGGGCCATACCAGGCAGTGCTCAGGAGACCATACGGGATGCCCAGGATCAAACCCGGGTCAGCCGTATACAAGGTGCTTCATTGCCTGCTGCACTTTCTCTCTGCCCCTGGATTTATACTTTTAAAGCATCCCTTCACCCTTACTTCAATTTGAAGGCTGGAGAGTTAGAATACAGGTGCTGGGGGCAGGAGAAAACCAGCAAGGTGGCCCCACCCGAGGGAGAGTGGTCAGGAGAGTTTGTGCACTGTGGGACTTTAGGAGATGGATTCAGCAGGATTGGAACAAGGACACCTGACACCTTGTCACCAGTGTGTTAGGATTGGGGGAAGTCAAGGGTGGTTGGATGGTTTCTGTGTTGAGCTTGAGGGAAGGATTCCTCTGTGAGATGGTCAGCTGTTCCTCCTAAAGGCCGGGACAAGATGCCCCTGAAACTAGGTGCCTCTCTCTCTGCTGTCTTTGTGAGTCCAGAGAACTCTCGTGAGTTTGTAAGGCAAACTTCCTCTCAGGGCTGTGGGTGGTCTCAGGGTTGCTGCATTGAGCTCCCACCTTTATCCCACTCTGTGCATGTACAGAAGCACACAGATGCACATGCATGAATATACCAAGACAGAGAGAGACACAAATACACAGACACATATAGATACATGCACACACAGATGCACAAAATGAAGCACACAGACACGTATACAGATATACATAGACATGCACAGACACACAGAAACATGCACACACAGTCACCCACACTCACAGATATACACACAGACATACACACACGCACACACATACACACACATGCACAGACGCAGACAGACATGCACATATGGTGTCTGTGCACTTCCTGTGCAGACCCTCCGCTGTCAGTACTTCTGTGCTCTGTTCTGGACAAGGCCCCAGGACCGAGAAATAGGAGTGTGTGGGCGACGTTCTCTCCACCATGCAAGGCAGGACGTATGACTACTCCTGCCCCTCTCTGTGGGGCCCCATAGGGGGGGTAGATCCAAGTCATGTCTGGTGGCAGGAGGCAAGGAGGCAAGGAGCCTGGGGTGTACACTGAAAGTATGTGAAAGGAATGGGGGCACCAAGGAGCAGCAGCAGGAAACAGGAACTGTGGGAGGGTCTGGCCTTCCCAGGGCGGGGCGGGGGCCATGGGTCTCCCAGCAACAGCACACATCTCGCTGGAGCTGGGCTTCTCGGGGTCACTTGCAGGATCAGGTGGACACGCTGACCTTCCAGAGTGAGTGTCTGCGAGACCGAGCCAGGCGCTTCGAGGAGGCTCTGCGGAAGAACACGGAGGAGCAGCTGGAGGTGCTCCCTGGCTTCCCACACCCACACCCCCAGCCCTGTGGAACCCCACCCTGGGAAGCTGGGCCCCCAAAACAGCCCTCCCTACTGGCCCACCAGCAATAGCTCACCATGGCCGCTGGGTTTCCCCCACGACCCGTCAACCTCCTGTGAAGGGGACATATGGGCTTCATCTTTGCATCAGACTGCCAGCGCCCCGACCCCTGTCCTAGCCCCCATCACCTGACCAGTCACGCCCCATGCCAGCCCACTCAGCCCACAGTGACAGACCCCCTGAAGCTCCAGTTAGTGGGTGCTGGGGAGGTTTATCCAGAAAAGCTGGTGATGTTCCTTCTCTCAGAGAAAATGCAAGGTGTCCAGGGATGTTTAAATGACAGATTAATGAATGTTTTGAACCTAAGAGTATCCCATGACATTTAGACAAAAGAAGTTACATGAAATTCAGACTTAACCTAATGCTCTCTGGTTTGATGCCTGTGTGATATCTGGCACTTTGCTCAAACATTTCTCTGTCTAGAACAGCCCTTCTGTTCTGTCAGCAGACTCTCCCTAGGCCTGGTGTAGGGATGGGAGTGTCACGTGGTCACAGGTGGGACCTGTCACTCCACCCGCCACCCTGCCTGTTAATCCAGGGTGTCTGGGAGAATATGAAAATCTGATAGAATTTACTTTTTATCCCACGAGTTCCCTTTGGGGACTGGACTGGAAGTATAGGAACATTCCAGCATTCTCACCTTCTCATTCTTTCTCTCACTCTCTTGCTCTCTCACTCTCTCGTTCTTTTCTTCCCTCTCCCTTCTCTGACTTTCTCTCCATCTTTCTCTTTCCCTCTCTCCCATTTTCTTTCCTATCTGTGCTCTCCCTCCCCCTCCATCCCTCTCTCCTTCTTCCTTCTCTTTCTTTATTCCTTCTCTCCCTCCTCTATTCTCTGTCTCTATCTCTCCCTCCTCTGTTCTCTTTGTCTCTGTCTCTCTTCCTCTTCCTCCCTATTTCCTTCTCTCTGCTGTCCACCCTGCCCCTGCTCATTCTCTCCCACAACCCCTGTTCTAGTTCCTAGTAGGCAATTTTTAAAAGCTAAATTTGGACCAGGTGGATGACTGCTGAAAGGACTAGAGCCTGTGTTTCTAATGTCAGAGCCTTGGTCTGACTCCCTAACGCCACGTGGGCCCTGACACCACCAGGAGTGGTCCCCTCAAGTAAACAAAATGAAAAATCTGGATAGGACTCTGTGATACTGGTGGCTCCTGTCATAGTTCCATGTTCTCAACCCCACAGATTGCACTGGCGCCATACCAGCACTTGGAAGAAGACATGAAGAGTCTGAAGCAGGTGTTAGAGATGAAGAATCAACAAATACACCAGCAGGAAAAGCGGATCATCGAGCTGGAAAAGCTGGTGAGTCCATGAGGTTGTTGGGGAGAGCCCCAGTGACCTGGGTGTCCTATCCACATCCCGCAGATGGCCAGCCAGAGAGGCACCCCTGCCTGTCGGGGCTCAGGACCACATAGAAAATTCCATAGCTGGGCTCACAGGGACCTGGAGAGATAGTACAGCAGCTAAGGCACTTGCCTTGCACACAGTTAACCCTAGTTCAACTCCCAGTATCCCATATGGTCCCCTGAGCCCCGCCTGAGCATCACCAGGTGTGGCCCCAAAACAACTACAACAGAAACACACAAAAACAAGAAAATTCCCTAGGTGAGGCTGCGGCCTTTCTCTGGAAGCCAGGTGTTCACGGCCCTTCAGAGAGCTCTGCACCTCAGTGCCTGCCGACTGCGAGGGTCAGTGTCCTGTTCTCTCTCCCCTGGGTGGGTGTGTGACCAGTGAGCACAGTGGAGCGGTGGAACCGCTGCCCATCTGTATCCACAGCCGCTGTCCACAGCCCTGCATTTTCCCCAGCAGGGAAGACACAGCATTTGTCCCCATGTCCAGGTGAAACGAGGGGCCTCCCCCAGAAACACAGTCTCAGCCTAGCTCTCACAAAATTAGCCAAGATCACCCCGTTGGGGGCACAGAGCACCCCAGAATTCACTCCCTGAACCCCGAGGCCACGAGAACCAAGAATGGTTAGCACTGAAAGGTAGTGGTGCAGAAAACTAGCAGTCTGCTTCCAAGGAGTCACCTCTGATGTAGAAGTTGGCTCATATTATTTTCAGTTTATGTTAGAGAGCACCTGCACACACCTCAGATACCAAAACAACAGGAGAATCTGTAGGAAAGCATAGCACTGTATCACGGTAGCACTGTCTTCCCGTTGTTCTTCAATTTGCTTGAGCGGGCACCAGTAACATTTCCATTGTGAAACTTGTTACTGTTTTTGGCATATCGAATATGCCGCGAAGTATAAATAAGAAAATTAAAGGAGCATATTTCTTTTGTTTTATTAATTTATTTTTATTGAACCACAGTGAGATACACAGTTAGAAGGTTGTTCATGATTAGGTTTCAGTCATATCATGTTTCAAAACCCATCCCTTCACCAGTGTACATTTCCCACCACCAATGTCCCCAGTTTCCCTCCCACCCACCCACCCCATCCTGCTTTTATTTTTTCTTCTGTCTCTCTCTCTCTCTCTCTCTCTCTCTCTCTCTCTCTCTCTCCTTTTGGAAAGTATGGTTTATGGTACAGATACTAAAAGGTTTGTGTATATCCCTTTACTGAAGTAGGATATTTCTTCCACTATGATCACTTTCCAGAATGTGCCATCTTTTTCAGAGCCCATGCCCCCATCTGTAAGTCTTTTATAGTCTGCTGCCCTGCAGTGAGGCAACCTGAGTCAGAAATCCTGCAACAGCACTGTAACAACATACCGTTTCATTGAACTTTTATCATTATTATTATTATTATTATTATTATTATTATTGTGGCTTGGGGGGCCACACCCACGGGTGCTCAGGGTCTACTTCTGGCTCTGTGTTCAGGGATCCTTCTCTGAGGGTTTGGAGGGCCATGTGTAGTGCTGGAAACCCAACTGAAATCAGCTGCGTGAAAGGCAAGTGCGATAACCACTGTGCTATTTTATCTGACCGTTAACATTCTCTGATTGTCTCTGACACGACCTTCAAAGTTGGTATATCCCTGAGCTGTACTAGGCCCCCACCCCGGTGCATTGAGGTGTCAGCTTCCCTCTTTACGGAACAACCTCCCTTTTTCAGATGTCTGTAGGAGCCCTCAGGGATGCGAGCATCTTTTGCTACATCTGGGTGCTATTGGTCCCCAATACCTTACCTTAGCTGCATCTAGGGTTTTTGTTGTTTTGTTTTGGAGCCACACCTGGTGGTGCTTAGGGCTTACTCTTGCCTCTGCATTCAGGGATCACTCCTGGCGGGGATCAGGGGACCATATGAGATGCCAGGGATCAAACCCAGGTTGGTCATAGGCAAGGCAAGTGCCCTACCTGCTGTGCTATCGCTCCAGCTCCCTCCTTGGTTCCTTTGTGTCCGGCTTTTTGTAAGTAGGCGTGACCACATCCCTTTCTAGGCAAAACTGATAAGTGATTGAATCTTTTCCCATTTCCTGGGTGCAGTGAGGGCTGTGAGGGGTGCCAGGCCTTCAGCTCGGATCCCTAAGCTTCCCTTTTGGGAACACAAACGTTCTCTTGAAGGCTTCACTGCACCACCAGAGAATTCCTCACAGTCTTCCCAAAGAGTGATTAATTTTTCAGTTCATCTGGGAATGCAGTCATCCGCAGGGGGGGTCCCCAGCCCCAGGATCACACTGACAGAGAATGGCAGCAGTTGTGGGGTGTGACAACCAGGTTGGTGTTATTTCCCCATAATGTTCCCGCACTATTTACCTGTCGAGTCTAATGTTAATTCTGAAGCCGGTGTGTGGCCATAAGGCCAGCTGACCAATGAAGAGCATGGAGCAGTCACTGAGCTCGATTCTGGGGTGCTGCGACTTGTCTCTGCCAGTCCCCTCATTGTAAAGAGGATCTTCTATGAGGAACCCACTGTGTACACAGACACACTGCGATGCGTCTAAATAGTCTAGATCCATAAAACATACATGGCCACCTCAGACTGTGGGCAGCACTCCAGGGTTTTCTTTCTGATGGTGAGCAGGGGTGGGGGTGGGGTCCCCCTCAGTAATGCTCATGGCGCCCACTACCACTGCCAGTGATTCTTGGCCAATAGCTCAGAGGTCCAGTGCCCAGAGAAGCAGCACTGTTCCAGCCCAGAGGTGCCAAGATCGACCCAGAAGTGCCCAGGAGACTAAGTGATGCTGAAAAAGAAATAGACTTAGTGGCAGTCAAGGCTCAAGTCCCTGAGCACTCCCTCCTGCTCTATTCCAGTGGTGTTTGTTGGTTGGTTTTTGGTTGTTTTTGTTTTTATTGTTGTTGTTGGGCCATACCAGATGATGCCACACCCGGTGATGCTCAGCGGTTACTCCTGACTCTTCACTCAGAAATTACTCCTGGTGGTGCTCAGGGGACCTTATGGGATGCTGGGGATTGAACCCAGGTCGGTCATGTAAGGCTGACCTGCTGTACTATCACTCTGGCCTAATTCCATCATTTTCTATCCAGTTCTGTGTTGCGTTGTTGTTTGAAGTCACACCCAGAGGTACTCAGAACTTACTCCTGGCCCTGTGCTCAGGAATCACTTCTGGTGGGGCCCAGGGGGCCTTATAAAATGCTGGGGAGTAAAGCTGGGTCTGCTGCCATGAAAGGAAGCGCCCTACCTGCTGTACTGTCGCTCTCTAGCCCCCGTGCCATTCTGTTTTATTCCAAGAAGTACCCCACACATCCTTCTCTCCAGACTTTCCAGCTCTCCAGATTTCCAGCCCACAGTATGCTGTAAACCCATTTGCAAGAGCTCTTTTCTTGGCAGTCCCTCAAGTCGAAGCCAAGGGCCCAAGTCCACAGCCTTGACTAAACCTCTCCATACTGCCTCCTTCCCAGGCTGAGAAAAACGTTATCCTGGAGGAAAAGATCCAAGTTCTGCAGCAGCAGAATGAAGACCTCAAAGCAAGAATTGACCAGAACACTGTTGTTACCAGGTAGGGAGCTGAGAAGGGGGCTGCTGATGTGGATTCATTTCCCCCTGGGCAAATGTGAACTGAGCATCTTTCGGGTGCTGGGAACCCAGCTAGAGGCTGGGGTTCAAGACGGAAAGCTTGGGTTACCCTGTCTTGCAGGGCTCAGAGCCCAGAACCACACGGGAAGATGATACCCTCCTCGGGTGGCCCTGGTTGGGGGCAGGATACCCAGGAGCTATTCCGAAGTGACATTACTGTCCCTTAGTGTCATCCTAATTTTTGTCGTTTGTATTTGGGGGGATGGGTGCACAATCATCAGTGCCCAAGGCTTACTCCTGGCTCTGTACTCAGAGATCTCTCCTGGGACTCAGTGGACCACATGGGGTGCGGGGATGGAGCCCAGGCAGCCACATACAAATCCCCTACCTGCTGTCCCATGGCTCAGACCTGTTATCCTGAGTATTATCATTAGGGTCAGTTCCGGGCACCTTACCAGTAACTGATGCTCATCCATATGGTCCCCACATCCCTCCTCTCCTCCTCAGCCCTGGGCTTTTGCTTTGTCCATTGGATAAGCACCCCCACCCCCTGACGGGCAGACCCCCACCCCCATTAGGGGCTAGCAGAGAGATTCTGCAGCTGATGGGAAGGGGGGCTCTGGAAACTGAGTTTCAGCCCAGGTGGTTCAGAGGCCCTGAGCACCCCCAACCTCCACCGCCCTGACCCCACTGGCTAGCTCCCTGAATGGTTCTTCTTCCCCCGCCGCAGACAACTCTCGGAGGAGAACGCTAACCTCCAGGAATACGTGGAGAAAGAAACCCAGGAAAAGAAGAGACTGAGCCGGACCAACGAAGAACTGCTTTGGAAGCTCCAAACTGGAGACCCCACCAGTCCCATTAAACTCTCCCCCACATCCCCAGTTTACCGGGGCTCCTCCTCGGGGCCCTCGTCTCCAGCCAGAGTCAGCATGACGCCCAGATGACGCCCCTAAGGAGCCACGACCCCCGCTGCCCGGTCCCGCGGTCACTGTCGGGCTGGGGGGAAGTGAGGGGGCGGGCCGGCCCGCGCATGCTCAGTAGCTGCAGAGCCACTCCGAGCTGAGCCCCCCTGACCCTGTGCTCCACTGTCCCCGTGTTGGCGCCTAGGAGAAAGGAACCGGTAGTGTCTGATGTGCAAACGCTTGACCTTAGATAGAGTCAAAAGAACGGAAACCCCCACTTGTTTTTGAGCAATGAACTTTCATCGCAGAATTTCAGGTGAGCTACGAAGAGCTCAGTTTTGAGTCTACATTGAATAATTATTGTGTACTACACCGCTGCGTGTGTATCGTTCGATAGACGCACGCGGCCGATCGGAATTGCATTTTTTTTATACCACAAAGTGCTGACATATTTTGGTGAAGGTCAGCATTTTTTTTCTAACTTGTGCCTAAGAATTATTGGGAAATGAAAATGCATTTCTATCTAGCTTCCCAGGAATATTTCTACCCAAAATAGAAAAAAAAGTTTAAAAAAATTTAAAAAAAAAAAGAAGAAGAAGAAGAAGAAGCGCCTTTCAACCTGCCACCAAGTGGTACTCTATTTAACACAAACACCAGCGATTTGTGAACGGTAATTGCTTTTGGAACCATCAGCTTCTTAGTCAACATGATGTGAAGTCACTATTCTTCCATTCCCAAATTTTAATTATTAATAATCCTGTCGTGAGCAGATTAGAGAGAGCCCAGAGAGGCAGCAGTTTTGCAGATGCTCCTTACGACAGTGAATCATCATCTATAGTCTCGTCAACAGAAATTTTGCTTTTTTCCTAAATGGCATCTTGGGATCCATCATTAAGTGATAGCACCCTCAGGAAACCATGGACACACATTACCTTCTCTCAGGAAGGGGAGGGGGCCCCGGAGCTGGCCCGAGTCCATGGGTGGGAGCTCCATGCTCAAGAAAGCTAACTACTGAGAGGGTCTGTATTCTGAGCACAGTCAGCATCTTTAGAATTCCACTTGGTCTGCTCTGATGTGCCACTCTGCAGTGGTAACACCACCAAATCAGACCCTCAACCTCCCTGTGTCATAAGTACCACACCCTCCCTTCACTTTGGTTCTGTAACTCAAACCCATCCCTGTCTATTGAGATGACTCAGGGGTTCTAACAGGCACTTCTAGAAAGACGACTTCTCTGCCGGCAAATCAGTTTTCAAGCTGTGCAACACCATAGCCTGCCCCCCCAGAAAAACAGGTCTGTTTTTCTGATGGGTGAATACGCAGTGAGAGCCACAGTAGACAGGGGTCTCACAGGCCCAGGAGAGTCCGCCACCCTGAGGAGCCTGGCGAATCAGCCCGCCAAGTAGTGTAGGCTGGCGAGCTGCGCTTGTGTCTGAGACGGTAGAAGTAGGATGTGAAAGGTTTCCTGTAGCACTGAGGCCGAGTAGGAACACGGCACCATGAGGAAGAAGCCGCTTCACCTGTCAGTAGCGTGCATGGCCTGGGTGCCGTAGTTTCCTGACTGTGATGGTGGCCCTGTGCTCTGCTCCTGTGGGCCGGGCTGTCCCGTAGCAGGGCAGAAGCACACAGGGATGCGCACCAGAGGCGGGGAGCAGTGAGGAGACCCCCCAGAGGAGTTCACTCGTGTGTGTGTCTCAGGCACCATGAGTCACTCACATCGAGCCCTGGCCTAGGTGCATCTCATCCCTCGCCATCCTCCCCCCGGTCTTTGCCCAACACACACAATAGTCACACATTGAAGAACCTTTGTTTCGTTTTTCTTTAGTGGCTCTGCATGATGCTATGATCCCAAGTTGGGCATTTTATTAGAGTAGATCATGCCACGTTGACTATACACACAATTAGTTATTCTCTTGGCGGCCAGACCCCCCCCCCCCGCCCCCGCAGACCCGAGCCGGGGTGGCGGCAGTGAGGGCCTGCTTCCCTCACGGCACCTGCTAGATGCAGTGACACAGCAATACAGAGTTCAGTGTTACATTAGGATGTGGTTCAGTGTGTTAGCCTATTGCGGTCCGAGTCGTAGAGATTGTTAGAGCTAAGTACCCCTTCCTCTGTGCACCCAAGCCCCCTGCCCTCACCAACCCTGATCCACGGACCTGGGCACCTTCCCACGCACGGGCACGTGTTTTCCCTTGTCCATGACACTCATCACGCCCGGCTCCTAGCCCCAACCAAACGAGGGGGAGACAGCCCTCCCCGCCCTCACCTCCCGCACCCGTGACCCTCTGCCCTCTCTTGCCCTGTGGGACCCCATGCCCCAGATACCACCTCCCCCATCCCCGGAGCTGTTTCCACGTGCAGATGCTGCAGACCCAGCAGACCTCATCCACCTCCCGTCGGGGTCTGGGAGGCCCCAGGGGTGTCAGGGCAGGGGGGAGGCGGAGTGATGGGCTGGCACACTCGGTGACTCTGTGGACAGGGGCACACACTCTGATGGCCCCATGCGGTTCTGTGTTACATATTTGTGTTTGAAGCATATTAAAACGAACTTGAGGGACCTTCTGTGAGAATTTGATGTGATTTGTCCTGGGGTGGGGTGTATTCCATCCATCAAGGAATCCCGGCCAGGGAGGACCCCCCCCCCCCCCACACACACACCAAGGCTTGTCATTAAATCTCATGCCAGATGGGTGAGATGGGATAGGATCAAGGATCAAGTTCTGATTTCTCGGGCTGATGTTCCTGGTTTCACTGACTTCCTTTGGCCTACAGAGGGCGCCTCCCCCCCTCCCACACTCCAGGATTCCGCAGCTGAAAGTAGCACCCCAGCCTCAAAGATTTTGCTTTTAGGGTCACACCTGGATATGCTCAGGGGTTACTCCTGGCTCTGCACTTAGGAATTACACCTGGCATTGCTCGGGGGACCATATGGGATGCCGGGAATTGAACCTGAGGTAGCCACATACAAGGCAAACACCCACCCACTGTACTATCACTCCAGCCCCATCCCTAAGCCTCCTCTCCTATTGCTTTTTAATTTGGGCTGCATTTCTTGGAAGACTGGCTTAACTGGTCAATCTAAATGGCTCCATTTGGAATGGGGCCACAGGGTCAACTGGGATTGGTTCTCCGACCTTAGTGCTCTGGGGCTGCTGCCAGCACACGGTGGCACCTGGGACCTGCTTGGGAGTCCTCCTTCCTGTCAGGGCCCAGCTGTTTGGGGGCCACTTCTGGGTGACCTAAAGTGTTTCCTACGGAGCGCGGGAAATTGTAGTCCCAGTAAAGTCACCCCAAAGCCTCAAGGCTGAAGCCCCGAGGGATAAATTCTTAAATTCTTGTGTGCGTGTGTGTGGTGGTGGTGGGGGGGGGGGGGGGCACTTGCCTTGCACGTGGCTGACCCAGGCTTAATCCTCGGAACCATTCTTGGTTCCCCGAGCCCCGCCAGGAGTGATCTCGGAGCACAAGTAAGTCCTGAGTACCAATAGATATGGCCCCAAATACTCGCCCCCCCCCTCCAAAAAAAACCATACTGGAACCCCGGTGTGAGAAGCGGGTCCTGCAGGGCAGGCTGCTGCCTGCGGGCCCCGCGTCAGCCACTAGGTGGCAGTGTGGCGCCGCGAGAACGCGAACAAAGCCAGGCACCCGCGCTGTCCCACAATCGCTTCCTTTCCCGGGGCTCAGTGAGGCATGGGGGGCGGGGGGGGGTTGAAGTGGTCGACTTCAGGATCTGCCGACGACGCAGCACCCGGGAGCTGCGACGCGTCCCCTCTGAGCACACTCTGGGCTGGGTGCTTGCATGCCTCCACTCAGGGCTGGACCACGTGGTTTCCGCGCATCAGGCATGGGGCGCCCACGTGTCCCCGGGATGTGGCGACCCACCTGTCCCAGGGCTGGGGGCGCCCACGCGTCCCCAGGACAGGGCGCTGCGTGTCCCAGGGAGGGAGCGACACACTTTCCCCAGGGATGGAGCGCCCACGTGTCACAGGTCATGCTGTTTTCTTAGGTCACTTCTCTACACTGTGGGGCCCCGGGAAGCACCAAAGTTCCGCCTTCACTTCTGGGGACACCCACAATCCCGGTGTCTTCGTGCTAAGGGTGAAGTCCCACTCAATCGGGCTTCCCGGTGAGAGAAAAAAGGTTTTTCTCAAGTGGGAGCAGAATGACCAAGATTTATGACAGAAGCTCCGCTCCTTCTCCCAGCCCCTGTCTGCCTGTAGGGGGAAGCCACTGGCACCCCAAGTGTGCAGAGGCCCAGGGCCAAGATGGGAATGGCTGCGAGGACTTGCTGCACAGCACCCCAAGCCACGTTCTTCCACCATGTGCATCTGGCAGGGTCGTTCAAAGGGTCAGGGAACATCTGGGCCTCCAGAGTGGAAGGCAGGAAGGCAACATCAGGGGATACAAAATGAGGGGTGTCTCGGTACACCCGGATTAAGGTACATTCTGGGCATTCCTCAAATCACCAGAAGACAGGTGCAACAATTTCAGCTGAGGGAAGATGGGACGTAACAGCAGCAAAGGATGGGTTCTAGTACCACCCCTGTGTCCTCCACCCCGAACTCCGAGCGTAGCTGGAAATCTTTTTTTTCTTCTTCTTTTTGGGTCATACCCAGCAATGCCCAGGGGTTGCTCCTGACTCTATACTCAGGGATTACTCTTGGAGGTATTGGGGGGACCATATGGGATGCCGGAGATTCAACCCAGGTCGGCTGCATGCAAAGCAAATGCCCTACCCGCTGTACTATCGCTCCAGCCCCATACCTAGAAATCTTGAGATTGACCAGGGCACACCAAAGGAATTTATTAAAACTTGTGGAGTTATGGGATAATGTAGCAACCCCCCCCCCCCCAAAAAAAAGGCTTGATTTTACAACATAAAGCATGGTTCAAGTTGTCAATATGCCATTGTCTGCAAATAAGGAATACAGGAGTTTCACAATTTTTTTTAAGACTATGAACATCTAGGCTTATTCTCAAAACAAAATACAAACAGGAGGGAGCAGCAGAGACCAACGTGATTGGCATGTAGCATCAGAGATCTAAATTGAATATTACAATTATAAGAAACTAAGAAAACTATTAGAAAAATAGATCAAACAAGCAAAAAAATATACAATTTACATAATAAAAAACCCCACTCAACTCTTGTAATAATGGCTCCATGTTCAGTAGGAGAAAACGGTCACTTCCAGCAACCACAGCTATTTGGGTTTGACAAGAAACCAACCCTCAGGACCATGACTCTTGTGCTCAGACCCGTTGACTTTGAAAGGCACAACTTAAGCAGGAAACTTATTTAAATATATATATAATAACTTCTCAAATAAGAAAATGAGTCCCAAACGTAAAAGCTTGTCATCAAGAATTATGAATTCATCGACCCTGTTAATAAATTAACAAAGTTAGATTAAAAGCATCTTTGTGGCACTGCTGCCTGCCTGAGAACATCCCACGGCGCTTCACGGGTGGGGGGCCACACTCCCAGGAGCTCCACCTTTCTCCAGAAATCACTGCCACTCAGCGAAGCACCGGGCTCAGAGACTCTGGACTACAGTTAATAAGAAGTCAGTTTTGCTGTGTTTTTCTGCTTCTGTTTTTTTTTCTTGCCTTAAAAATCCACGAGGCATCATAATTGCAGTGAGGAAATACATAGTGAAGCTTCTCAAAAAGAGTATTTCATTGTAAAAAAAAAAAAAGTCCATGTAAGTCTGACAAAACGCACATACATCTCACTCACCCTAAATGAGTCTTGCATACAAAACTCTCAGTGTGATGGCAAACGTACACGTTAAATTACACAGAACAATGATACGGAACCGGTATTTGGCTCTGTCTTGTGAACTCTGAACTGTTCTGCACAGCAGCATCAACAATCCCCACTGCAGGTGGGATGTGGCTGCACCCACACACCTCGCCTGGACCTCCTAGAACACGGCGGGGGGGGGGGGGCCTCACTGCCCTTGTCAGTGGTGGTGCTCAGATGCCAACAGAACCAGGTCCTCTGCATGTGCCGATGCAGGGCCCAGCGGCATCAGGTGGGGTTTGTCCCGGGTGTAGGAGGCGTGTCCGGGCTCAAAGGAGCAGAAGGGAATGCTTTGGAGTTTAGAGTTCGGGGTGCCCCAGGTGTGGGAGCCGACGGCCGGTCAACTGAACGGACAAAGGATCTGCAGCAGCAGACCCCCAACTTGGAGCCCGGCAGGCCTGTGTGCCTCTCCCAGACAGCCCTGGGAACAAAGGCTCTTCTTCCGCTCCTCCCTCTCGGCTCAAAAAAGAAAAAATCCAGCCAAAGTCAGGCTGAGGCGTGAGCAGGTGGGGTACAGTGATTGGGGTTCCCCCAACGTAAGACTCCTTTCACCCTTTTCTCTTTGGGGAGGCCCTGGAGCTGTTGCTTCATAAGTGCTCACACAAGGTGAGTGTGTGTGTGTGTGTGTGTGTGTGTGTGTGTGTGTGTGTGTGTGTGTGTGTGTGCGCGGGGGGGGGGCGGTGTCCTGGGAGCCAGGAAGGGGTGCAAAGGGGTCCTTCCATTGGGAGCTCCTTGGTCCTGGGGCACAGACATGAAACACCTAAAGGGTGTATCCCTAGAAATGTGGGACCTCTGGTTGTGTGGGAAACACCCACCAAGCTGTGAAACAGAATCACGGAATCCTGTTCTTGCCCAGGACGAAGACGAAAGATACAGGACTATGGGGCACCTCGTGTGCGCGCGCGTGTGTGTGTGTGTGTGTGTGTGTGTGTGTGTGTATGTGTGTGTGTGTGTGAGAGAAAGAGAGAGAGAGAGAGAGATTGTGGTGGGGAGAGGGGGCAGACGGGAAGGATGGGGGTCACCAGTCCAAACACCATTCCAGCCCTGCCCTGAAGATACAAGAAGGGAAAGACCCGAGCAAGCACATGGAAAAGGCTGGGTAACAACAGAGGAGCGGGGGTTGCTTGCCCACATTGACCCCGCATCCGCTGTGCAGTGGGGCTCACGCCCCCCCCCCCCCCACACACACACACCTGCCTCCGGGCCAAGTGTGGTACAACCTCCGCTGTTGGGAAATGTCGTCATCTGTAAACAATCTGCAGGCTGCCGTCTCAGGAGATAGGCAGCCACAAAGAGAAAGTGAGAAAGAATCAGCTGCCACCCGCTACCTTTCTTGGACACAGCATTCTCCTTGGGTTCAGTTTGCTGACATGGGGGAATGGAAGGGAGTTATCCGGGATATTGAGAAAAACAAACAGTTAACAGGCAACCAAAGCCACCCCCGACATAAGTTACATGTTTTGAAATAGTTTACAGCACCACTCTGCAAGAATTTAACACCTTTCTTTAGGAATCCGAGCTCTGGGTTCTGATGACCGCCCTCTGGAAGACCCACCAATTCTGTTGAGAAGCTTTCAGCCACAGGTGACCAGACTGTGGGGAAGGCCGGAACCTGGCTGCTGACGGCTGACCAGCAGCCTCCTGGCTGGGCCCTGTACCTTGCATCTCTTTGCAAGAACTTCCGGGACAGGGAGACAAAGTGCGTCACGGCTTCGAGCCACTTCCTGCCCCACTGCGCCCAGGGCCTTGGCAGATAGAAATACAGCGCAGGCATTCTCCGGAGTGTCCACACAGCCATCCACACCCCCATCTGTGCCTCTTCCTGGCTCCTGAGTTTCTACTCTGCCCAGGTTCAGGGACACTGGACTGTTTCCTCCTTTCCTTTCCGGGTCTGTGAGTTGTCACCAGGCCTCCAGCTCCACGATGAGAAGGTGTCCCAAAGTGGACAGAGGCAGTCAGGGACCTAGTCATCTTCACCCACAACCCAGGGGGCCCAGACACCTTGGAGGAGGTGGGTGTGGGGGAGAGGGAGAAGGAGCTGGGGAAATGGGGTTCTCAGGGCTATTTTGCAGCCGGCCCCCAAAAGACAGAGCCAAGCTCTGGTGCCGCAGGCCACACACTCGGAAGCAGCAAGAGATGGGGAGGGGACAAACATGGGAGCAGCGGGACCCCCGGTTCCACGGGGAGCAGCAGAGGCAGGAGCAGAGCCAGCCTCCGGGGACAAGCCCTGCCTGGAAAGGAAACGGGGAGGTGCGGGGGTGGGGAGCCACAGTCCCAAGGTCCCCGGCAGGCTGGCGGTGAGGCGAGGAGCTGTGCTCCCCCGTGTGACGGCGGCTGTGCCAGGCCCGGGGTCCTGTGGGACATCTTACATGCCAGATGGCTGTGGGGGGCTGGGCGGAGTCTGGAGTGTGCCGGGAGGTCTGCAGGAGCGGGGACTCCTTCCTGCCAAGCCCGCGAGGAGACGGGAGCGGCGGCTGCCCCAGGTCCGGGAGCAGTGTGGAGCCTACAGGGGGCGGCCCAGGTGGGCTTCGGCCACTCACGTGGGGCTGCCTGCTGGGGTCCCCCGGCGCCCGCAGAGCCGCAGGAGCAGAGCCAGGCACTGCCGGGGTGACCCGGGGCCGAGCTCAGGGCCCAGCGCCATGGGTCACTTGCAGCGGTCCAGGTTGTCGTCAGGAGTCCGTGCAGGGCCGGCGGCCAACGACGCCTCCACGCTGTGCCACAGCCCGTAGCCGAAGTAGATGGTGAAGCCTGCGGGGCCAGGAGGAGCCGTGAGAAAAGCAGCCAGGATGCATGCGGGGGGCCACAGCTACCGGGTGGCTTCCCCCCACTAACGGCCTGTCGGGGGCGGGGTTCTCAGTGAGGAGTGTGTTTGTGTGTGTGTGTGTGTGTGTGTGTGTGTGTGTGTGTGTAGGGCGCAGAGTGGGGGTCCCGGCAGAGTGACAGGACGCTTTCTACATACTACTATCCTCGTCCAGGGCGGGATTCCCAGCGGGTGGGGGCCTCTGAGGTCCAAGAATGTCCCCACGGCTTCAGACTTCCTCCCTAGGTGAGGGTCAGATTCGGGAGGCGCTGAAGCCACCCAGCATTGTTTGGGCGCCACAAAAATCTGATCAGAGGACCGGAGCCACAGTGCAGTGGGGAGGGCACCTGCTTTGCACATGGCCGACTCGGGCTCGATCCTGGCATCTTATAGGGTCCCCCAAGTAATGCCAGGAATAATTCCTGAGCACAAAGCTAGAGTAACCCCTGAGCACCGTCAGGGATGGCCCCCAAATGAAACAAAACACAAAACAAAAAAATCTGATCTGTTTGGTGTGCCGTGCTGCAAAAGTGAGTTTGGGGACCCCCCCACCCCCGCCCACACACATATCGGTGTTGCCGCCTCCCTTCCACCCCAGGGGTTGTGGCCGGGGAGACTGAGCCTTAAAGGAAGGGTACAGGGAGGCAGCAAACACGCCAGGAGCCGACAGGGGGTGCTCAGGAAGGTGTCCCCAGCTCTGAAAAACGAATCAGGCGCTCAGAGCCCACGGAAGTTGGAGGGGACAGAGGCTGGGACAGAGGGGTGGGGGGGGGGAAGGCCAGGCCCTGCAGAGGCCGACCCAGTCTGCCCTCACCCCACCAAGTAATTCCTCGGGCAGCTGCTGTGGGAATGAGGAGCCCCAGGGAACAGAGCCCCACGAGCCAACACCCGAACACACACCCCCAGGGGGGTCCGGAGGGCAGTGACCCGCATCCCCCTCAAAGGGCAGCAGGACCCCGAGAGGGTCAGAGCGGGGGCCCCAGAGAGGCACTCGAGCTTCCCCTCCCCCATCCTGTACCGATGAGCATCCAGACAGCGAAGCGAACCCAGGTTCCTCGGTCCAGCTGCATCATGAGGTAGACGTTGACGAAGATGCTGAGCACGGGCAGCAGCGGCAGGAAGGGCACCTAGAGGCGGGCGAGGGGGCGTCAGACAGCAGGAAGGGCACCCCCAGAGGGACCCATACGCAGGGAGAAGGGCAGACGCACACAGACACGCCCACACAGGGAGAGCTGCTCCCTCCGGCCTGTGCTCAGCGCACCCTCCTACTGAAGGAAGGGCAGGAAGAGGGCTGGGTGTGGGGGGGTGGGGCGCAGCTGCTCCTGTCGCACAGCAGGAGGCTAGGGTGCAAGTAGGCAGTGGGCTATTCTGCGTCTGAAAGGGGCGGTGGGTCATTCAAGGGGAGGAACCTCTGCAGGTCACCAACCCTCAGTGGCCCCCAAGGCTTGGTGATGACGCAGGGCCCACTAGGATGGAACTAGGGAGAGCCACAGGACGTGAGGGCCAGGGACCGGCCTCCTGGTCAGAGGCTGTCTCGGAGCAGTCTGGGTTGAGGTGGGCCCTGTCCACACCCCCAGGGGGATCTGTCCACACCCCCAGAGGGTCCTGTCCACACCCTCAGGTGGGCGGGCTGGCCGGTGCCTCCCTCCAGATGCCCCCCCCCCCCCCAGAGCCCGGCCGAAAGTTCCCCCAAGCCTGCGAGGCCCCACAGCTCACCTTGAAGGAGAGCTTGGTCTTGCTCTCAGGCTGCCTCCAGATGATAGCGGTGACCAAGGCGCAGAGCAGGGCAGAGCCCGCGAGCAGGAGGATGGCCCACCACTCGCCCTGGCTCAGGGCGCTTCTGCCAAGCACAGCCACGATGCAGAAGGTGATGATAAGAACCGCTGGAGGGGGGAATAAGCAATTCAGTCATCTCTCAAAAGTTTCCGCAGGTATCCCTGGCTCACACCAAACCCTCTGGGGGAAGGAGGTGTCATTTCTGCAACATCACTACAGTCCTGAGTAGCTCACGCCACAGTCCGACCCCACTCTACCCCACTCCTACCCCAAACCACAGAGAGAAGCTGGTGCTCGTACCTATGAGGCTTGTTGAGATGTTGACAATCAACCCAGAGAACTTGGTCGGCTCCGTGTTTCTGGGTGAGAGTACGGCTTTCAGGGAACAGCTCTGTGCTTCCCTCAAAAAGCCAGTCTGGGAATCACTGGTGCTCACCAGCTCATTCTGGTCCACATGGTCTAGCTCATCAGTGGTTCTGGCCATCTGGTAAACCAGGTTAGGTTGCTCTGGTTGGTACCTGGAAAGAAATGTACTGCATGAGCATCAGAATATCCCTTAACCACACAGAACACCACATAGTAACTCAAGTTCTTGGTAGGCCTCCAAAATGCAGCTGATTGGGCAGGAAGGGAATTTGCCTTGTATGCAGCAGACCTGGTTTCAATCCCCAGCATCCCATATGGTCCCCCCAAGCACCACCAGGAACAAGCCTAAACACAGAGACATGAGCATCACCAGGTGTGGTCTCCCCAAAATAATAGCAACAATAATAAAGTAATAATAATAAAATTCAGTTGGGTAGAACACAAGGTATAATCTAGAGAGAAGGCAGTTAAGATCTATGCATTCCCCCACCAGGAAGACACAGAGGGTGTCATCTCGTCTCCTGCCCTGCTTCTGGGCTATGTCCTTGCTGATGCCTCTGTTTTGGGCCAACATAATCACAAACTAGCCCAGAGGAATGTCCTGACAGGTGTCTCTTGGTCTGCACAGTAGAACTGGACCTTGAACTCCGAAGATATCAGGACACCCCCAACAAAACTACAGCTGCAGAGACTGACTGTCAGGTGACAAATAACAAGCAATCCTATCTGGATCCTATCTGGTGTAGAGAGCCAGAGAAATGAGTTTGCAGGCTGATGAATAGAACAAACTCTGTGGGACTTAATTGGATCAATTTATTTTAAAACTCAGAGTGCCTTGAAATAAATAACTCCGGGGCTGGGGAAGGCTGGAGTCTAGGCATGATTTCCAAGACACAAACTATCGACAAAGAAAGCATCCTTATCCACCCAACCCAAATTAGCAGAGTTTGATTATTATCCAGCAGCTTTGAAATCCTCTCCCTGTCCCCAGCGGGCAGACTCTCTCCCTGATGAATTATTTTACGGAAAGTGGCTTCTAAGCATGAGTGTAAGTATAGTCCACCACGGTTTCCAGGTTAACTGGTATAACACCACCCAATCCATGGAGAAAGGCCATCCAAGAAGACCCCTGTGTTAGGCCCGGGGGAAGCAAGTGCTCAGCAAACGAGCACTGCCTGCTTCCACCAAGACCAAAAGCCAGCATCAATTCTTGGCCCAGGTTTGACCATCAATTAGCTGCTGACCACATTAGAAATGGGGCCTCTGGCCTTGCAAGCCTAAAGTACTGGAAAAGAAGGAAGGAGACTCTTGCTGGGTGATTAATGACAAGTCTTTGTGTTCTCACATAAAATGTTAAATGCTTCCCCGGTCATCCCTGGGAGTGAGGAAAACGGGAGCTACTGGGTAATGCTTTGTCTGGGAGGGAGTGCTGTGGGACCCCAAGGATCCCAGAACACTGAGCCTCGACCCAGAACTGCTTTATCACCCACGGGCCTCGGCCCAATCCAACAAGGCTAAAACAGAACCTGGAGGCCTTCCCTCTCTGCCCTGGACACTCACTGCCCTCAGGACGCATCACAGAAACTGGCCTCACGGCTGACCCAACAGCCCCTACTTCTCTGGGTTTTCCCAACTCCTACTGGGCCATTCCCCAAGCACACTTTGTCCTAAGAACAGAATGAGACTGCAAGAACTACTCTAAGCCTCCAAAAATTCTGACCCCAGGATCGAGGTCCAATAGTTGGGCTGAGAATCTATCTTTGAATGAGGATACAGAACAGAGTGTGAGGCCACTATCGGCGCCTTGCGAGGATGCGATCAACCACGAGGTTCTGCCCTCCCCATGATACTTCCACCAATCTGCAAGTCGAAGCATGGAAACGGTTAAGCTGACCTGAGGAAAGGCCAGCAGTGCGAGGGGATGGAAAGGCCATACGTACCTTAAGACCAGCACACAGGCAGCCACCAGAGAGTAAGCCAGGAGAGTGCCGATGGACATGAGGTCCACCAAGTCCTTCAGGTCGAAGAGGAAGGCCATCACAGCTGGGAGGGAGAGACGCCAGACCCATGAGTGTTCCTGTCAGACCCGCTGAAGCCAGCCAGAGCCACCACCCCCCACCACGGACCCCAAAGCTCAGGAGATGCTGGTTCTTACTTGACCCCCTCATCAAGCCTGCCCTCTCACCCACCCACCCACCCGCTGCCTTCCTTCCCTCCCTCCCTTCCTTTCCTTCTTCCCTCTCTCCTTCCTTTCTTGGCAGTGCTCAGGACTTACTCCTGGCTCTGTGCTCAGGGATCACTTCTGGCCATCCTCAGGAGAACATATGGGGTGCCAGGGATGGAACCCAGGTTGGTCGCATACAGGGCAAGTGCCCTGCCACTGTGCTATCTCTTTGGCCCACTCCCAGCCCTTTCCATCAAAAAACATTATGTAAAAGAAGAAAATCTTCCCACAGACAAAGTCCAACAGTTAATAACAATAACATTGTTTTGGTCTCTGTGACCCCACAGGCATCAGCAATGAGAATCTGGGGAAGGGGAAGTCTGTAGGGCTCTTGACCCAGACAGGTGACCCTAAAAAGCATCGTGGTTCCTAAACATTCGGAGGCATTCACTACAATTCCCAATTAATTAATTATGGCTTTTAGGCCACACCCTGTGGCGCTCAGGGATTACTCCTGGCTCTGCACTCAGGAATCATCCTGGCGGGGGTCAGGGGACCAGGTGGGGTGCTGGGAATTGAACCCAGGTCAGTTACATACAAGGTAAGCATCCTACCCACTGTACCTGCTCTGGCACTGATGACTCCCCCAACTTTAGAAACTAAAATCAAGCATGCTCACTTACTTATTGGAAAATCCTTTGTCATCTGAGTACTGTCTGAGTGTCCAAATGTGGGTGGATATGTCAACTTTCCCACTTGAAAAATAACTCAGCTAGATCTACTGTGCAACACTTCCAAGCTACATGGGGTCAACCCCAGTTCAAACATAAACATACACTGTTACTCCGCCAAAAGACCCAGGCCCCTATAGTTCACCGCAACCATGACAAATTTAAATTGAGAAAAAAACAATAGGAATGAAGAGCACAGAGGGTCTTCTGGAGAGGCAGTGTGGTGGCCAGGTGTGCAGCCCACAAGTGTCTCAGTCCCACTCACAGAGGAACTTGACACCAATTCCCTTCCTGTGAGGTGAGCTCAGAAAGCCACCCATAGAGAAAAGCACAAATCCCTGACTTGGTGAATGGTGTTTTTATAAACTCTTTCAAGATTATAGCTTAATCCCCTTCATCAGCACAGGAAGTATGATCAAATAACATGTAAATACTGAAAAAAAAAGGACACTTTCCAGTTCCTTAACCTCTAGAACATAATAGTTATATTTTGACATACGGCATTCCGTAACCTGACAAGTACAATCACTCTCTAGAAGAATCACGCAGCCAATCTGTATAAAATGTTAATCCACGGAACAGACACTTTGCTAACGGCATAACTACTACGGACAGTAATCCATCCCTTAAAAATGGTCAAGTGGCTTACCACAGTCCCTGTGGGCCCGACCTTGGCTGGGCTCATGTGTCCCAGTGAGCCACAAAGACCCACGTTGCACCCTGGAGGCAGCCGGCTGCTCTGAGTGTGTGCTCGGTGCTCGATGGTCTGCCCCTTCCCTTGTGTGCCCCGGGCCTCCACTGCACGTCTGTTCCCTGGCACAAATGGCTGCCGCCTCCCGCGGTTAAAAGCACACAACAAACACCGTATCCCGCCTACACTGCTGAACACATGCTCCCGCACGCGTGTGCTGTGGCCCCTTCTCCTTGACTGGGGGCTCCTGAGTCATCTCACAGTTCAAAGGATTCTTGCGTCTGCTGATTTCAAAATATTTTTAGAACAACAAGCAGTCCTCCACTGGCCTGCATTCATCAGCGCCCTCCCCATGCCCTGGAGAAGAGGGGGCAGAGCAGCCTTGGAATACCGAGCAAATGATGTCTGGGGCTTGGCTCCTTGGACAGGGAATTTCCAGTCATGACAAAATGTCACTCTGGCTTGCGTCACATGCAAGGTGATGACCTGATCTAAGTCTGCTCAGGTGAACATTCGGCAAAGGGTACAGAGCGATAGGACAGCAGGTTTGCCTTCCACACAGCCAACCTGGGTTCAATCCCCGGCATCCCATATGATCCTCCCCACCTCCGGCAGCCGACCTCCACTGCCCAACCACTGCCACACTCCAGGCTGCTTTCCGGGCACATTATAAGACACTGCCTACCCATTTATGCCTCTCGGAGAGCCTGGCAAGCTACCAAGAGTATCCCGCCCACACGGGCAGAGCCTGGCAAGCTCTCCGTGGTGTATTCAATATGCCAAATACAGTAAAGACAATAGGTCTCATTCCCCTGACCCTGAAAGAGCCTCCAATCATTGGGAAAGACAAGTAAGAAAGGGCTGCTACAATCTCAGGGCTAGTAGGAATAGAGACGTTACTGGGGCCCCCTCAAGTAATTCAACGATCAATGGGATGACAGTGATACATGATACAGTGACAAAATGCCACTTTGGCTTGTGTCACATGCAAGGCGAGGACCTAATCTAAGTCTGCTCAGGCAAACATTCAGCAAAGGGGCCAGAGCGATAGGAGAGCAGGTTGCCTTCCACGCAGCTAACCTGGGTTCAATCCCCGGCATCCCAGATGGTCTCCTGAGCACCGCCAGGAGTGCTCCCTGAGCACAGAGCCAGGAGGAAGCCATGAGCACTGTGGGTGTGGTCCAAACAAAAAAAAGGCCAGGGGAAAGGGAGAGGCTCTGAAGGGCTGATGTGCATTTTACGCTCTTTTCTAGTTAGAGAAAAGAAGAACAAGAGAACGCTCTAAGAGCCACCTCAGTCCCCCTGTAAAACTGCCTTTTGTCTGCAATAAACCACATCCCGGCATCAAAGTGAAGGGCTGAAGGAGACCACGCCCACCCATACTCACTGACCCGCAGGGCTAAAATCACATTCCTCGGGAGTTTATAATAAAACTCTGCCATGGAAATACCAGCAGGTGACGTTCGTCCGAGTTCTTACCAGCAATGACGCCAGAGGTGATGGTGGCAATCACCGGGGTCTTAGTTCTATTGTTGACCTTCGCCAAAAACTTAAATAGCAGCCCATCTTCGGCCATGGCGTAGATGACCCGAGGCATGGGGAACATGGAACCTAGAAGGCTGGGCGGGAGGGAAAGGAAGAGCATCCGTGACACCAGAGCACAGCCACAGAGGCTCCCTGAAGAGATCCCCAGCTCACATTCTAGACAGGGAACCTCGAATTCTCACCAGGTCTTTTCACTCCAGTCTGTGTTGGGCCTAAGCCCAACGATTCTATAAACGGGCTCCCAGAACAGCACTTTACTGCACGAATGCGGTGAAAAAGTTGGCAATGTTTATCACAGACTAGCACGGGATCCTAGCCATAACTCGGGATGGACAGAACTTCTATATTCTCATCATTCCTTCCAGCTGAACAAAAGGGTGAAAGAAATGAGTCCCTTTGTCGGGGAGGGTTTCTTTGGGAGAAGTCAACATTTAGCAACTGTCTCCTGTTGATGCCGGCTAGAAGGAGTATCAGGGACAGGAATACGATTTTTACTTTCCTTTCCAGGTGGCTTCTGCTCCCGGGCAAATTCCAATAGCGTTTGGAGAGTTGGCCCGGCCAGCGGCCAACAGAGGGGCAGCAATTCAGCCCCTGGCCCAGCAGCAGCTCAGACTCGGGTGCTGGGCTTTGTCATAGAACGGCAGGAACACAATCAACGAGGGAGAAACCGCTCATCAGGGCTGGTTCTGGCCCAGGTGTTTCCACGTGGGGCCAGGGACCACATAACCCCAGCTTTCCATGGCCCCTGACCCCACACTGTGCCCGGCCAGGGCCTCGGGTGCCTCACCTGGTGGAAAGGGCACAGAGGGAGCCCACGGCCACCGCGTACTTGGCGCCATCCCAGCCCACGTGCTTGAAGGCGTCAGGCAGCGGGCTGTCCTTGTCCAGGCAGAAGTATGGCGTCATGAGCGTGAGGGCAGCCGACACCCCAAAGTAAGCCACGAAGCAGATGAGGAGGGATGCCACGATCCCCACGGGGATGGCCTTCTGCGGGTTCTTGACTTCCTCACCTACGAGCAGCCAGTGGTCACACAGGGTGTCCCCAAGGCGTCCACCATGCCTGGAGCTCCCAGGCACCCCAGGATGTCGTAGCTCTCAATCCCAAGGGGTGTTGGCCCCAGAAGTCACACTTTGGTGTTTCCTTTGGCAGGGGCCAGGAAACGTCCACCCCCTTGGTCAGCCCCATGCATTCCCTATGGTTGCTGAGCCGCTCATTCCACATGAGCGTGACGGTCTCCTGTCACCAGTGGCCAGCGGGGATGTGATGAAGTGGGGGAGACAGGCAGGAAGCTAGAAGGGACACGTGAGCCACGTGGGGAATAGCAGCAGCTGCCACATGGCCCAGAAGGAAAAGCCCAGCCTGTGGTGGGGATGGGGGGAAGAGGGGGACGTGAGCGGGAAGGGCCGCACCTGTGGTGGCGATGCAGTCGAAGCCCACGAACGCATAGAAGCAGGTGGCCGCCCCCGACAGGACACCAGAGAAGCCAAAGGGCATGAATCCTCCGGTGCCAGGGTCCCCAATTTGAGTGTCACTGGAAAAAAGGAGCCACGGTTACAGTTCACAGCTGTAACAGAGAAGCAATGGCGAGCACTGCCCGCCAGCCAGAACCCAGCCCCCGGGCCTCAGTCACAGCTGTCATCTGCAAACTCATTCAGACTCTGCAAGGTTGCTGTGGCCCAGAGCCGCTCACGCCCCAGGAGCAGCCTCGATACACTTGACAGTGTGCCCACCCCCCACACACACACATACCCCCTCACTCACACACCTCTCTCTATCTCCGCCTCTCTCTCACCTCTCTCTCTCTCTCTCTCTCTCTCTCTCACACACACACACACACACACACACACACACATACATGCAAGGCTATAACCTTATCTAAGTCTGCTCAGGCAAAGGGGCCGGAGCGATAGGACAACAGGTTTGCCTTCCACGCAGCCAACCTGGGTTCAATCCCCGGCATCCCAGATGGTCTCCAGGAGTGCTCCCTGAGCACAGAGCCAGGAGTAAGCCCTGAGGTTGAAAGAGTGAATAATCCTTTTGTCTTGTTTTGGGCCATACCCAGTGATGCTCAGGGTCAGTCCTGGCTCTGCATTAAGGGAGCACTCCAGGCGGGGCTCAGAGGCCCCTCGGGGGTGACGGGGATTGAACCTGGCATGGCAGCTTACACACGCCATTAACATGAATGACTGTGAGGTGGGGGAGGAGGCAGTTCTTGGGAGGCCTGTGCATGGGGACAGAACTAGAAACTTTTTTAGAATCCCGCGCTATGCAAATAGAGGGGAGGTAATACTGCTCTAAGACATTAAATCCCCAGTGGGGGTAATAGTAGAGGACCCTACACGCTCCTGACCAGGTTGGATCCCTGGCACCACACACGGTCCTCTGGATACGGCCGGGAATGATCCCTGAGCACACAGTCAAGGAAAGTCCTGTGACCCAAAATCAAAATAAAAATGAAAAAAATATTAATTCTGCTTTTAAGAAAAATCTGTGGTACTGATCCCAGCAGCAGGGCTACCACGAGAAATAGAATCTCTGTTCTACAGCCTCAACCCAGAGACTGGGATTTTTGGTGGTGTGTGTGGGCAGGGACGGAAATCTTTTAAGAGTGCTCAGGAGGCTCAGGCACTCCCTTCCTGGATTTGTGTTTGTTTGTTTGGGGGCCACACCTTGCAGGGACCCAGGCTTACTCCTCGCTCTGTGCTCAGGGATCAGTCCTGGTGGGCTGGGGAGGCCATCAGGAATGTCAGGGACAGAACCCGGGTCAGTCATGTGCACGGCAAGTGCCCTACCTATGGTACTTTCTCTCCGGCTCATCTCCCTGCAATTCTTGGTCAACCAGGCTGAAGGTTCAAGGTGGGGTCCAGGAGTACAGGCCAGGCCTGCAGGGCCACACCTAGAGATGCTCCAACCCTCTCCTTACACCACAGTCTAAGCCAAGTCCCCACCCCCAGTGGGCACCTCTGTGAAGTACCGGGTATGACCGATTGACGGCTGCAAGGACAGAAGAAACCACTTACTTGTTGGAGCAGAACCTACTGGTGCCGTTCTGGAAATCCTGCTCTGTGAAATTCCAGTTCTTGATAGAGCCTTTCACAAAACCAGACACCATGATGAAGCCCAGGACCAGGACATTCACGCAGGTGAAGATTTTGCTGACCATGGCTGACTCTTTCACACCGAAAGTCAGAAGGCCTGAAAAGGTGCCGGAACAGAAAACTCATCAAGTTAATCTCACAGGACAAAGGGATTGTGGGGAGGAAGGTGGAAATGACACTTTGCACTAGTCCAAGTGGTGGCAAAGCCCTAAAGGCTTTGGGGAGCTTCTGGGAAGGGGCTGGACTCATTCTCCTTTCAGAAACCAGGATCAAAATAGCTTTCGTCCACAGGGCCTTGAAATCAAAGCACCCCGAGCTGAGGGTATCATCCGGGACACTAGTGAGGACAGCAGGCACAGGGGACATCAGGGGCTGACCCCCAGTAGCAAGTAGGCCCCTCGGCCCCTTGGATAGGAGGAAGAGAGCCGCTGGTACCCTAAGCCTGGCCTGGACCCTCTCACGAAAGCACAGGACTGGAAATGCCCTCAGTGGAAGGACTTAATTTTTCTTCAGTGGGAAGACAGTGTGTATACTTTCTCCGTATAACGTGTTTTCTTTCTTGTGACATGAGAGTTTTTCAGATGACGCTTATGTTCAGATTCACACAGACAAGTTAGGAACAGCAGCAATGACAACTCTGGGCCTCTTCCTTGGACTTCGTGCTTGTAAAACCAGCTCTGAACTAGCCAACTACTCACAAGAGGGGCCAGAACCATAGCACAGACTTACACACTGCCAACCCGGTTTCCTATATGGTACCCCAAGCACCACCAGGAGTAATTCCTAAGTGCAGAGCCAGGAGTAACCCCCGATCATCAACTGGGTATGACCCAAAAAGTCAAAAATTAAAAAGTTTAAAAAAATAAAATAGAAACAAGAGCATGCAATAAAAACTGCACAACACAGGACAACACTATCCTATAGCTTATGCCAGGGGTTAAGGTGCTATTTAAGGACTGTTTGGGTTCAACTTCCCACACAAAGCAAGAAAAAAGGTGTGGAAACAGTGTCCACAACATGCCTGGCTGCCATGTGGGGTATAAAGAGTACTTCCAGCCATGCACACCTTTTAGATACACTTAACTAGGCCAGAGCAATCGTACAGCAGGTAGGGCATTTGCCTTGCATGCAGCTGACCTGGGTTCGATCCCCGGCATCCCATATGGTCCCCCAAGCATTGCCAGGAATAATTCCTGAGCGCAGAACCAGGAGTAACCCGAGCATTGCTGGGTGTGACCCAAAAAGAAAAAAATATAGAAACCATTGAATAAGAGTTCCTGGCTAATGCGTGCGCTTTGCGTGCAGGAGGCTGGGATTCCCAGACCCCACAGTCCAAGCACTGCACCAGGAATAACTCAAGTTAGGTATACCCACCCCCAACCCCCTATAAGCTTCCCAGAATAGTCTGAGATCTGAAATACAGACATCTGCAGAGAATCGAGCAATTAATCCCAAGGAACCTGACGCCCCGCTACGCCCTTCTTCCGGCATTCTTTCCTCTGGTGTTTCTGGCGATCTCAACAGTTGAAACTTAATTTCTGCTACTTGTTCCTGCCAACTGGACCATAAACACTGTTCAGAGTAACCTCTGCAGAATGACTGCAATTATGTGGTGCGTAAAACAAGACTGCTTCTTTAGAAAAGCTCATCCACAATGCTCTACCCTCAAAGGAGAATCACTGACATTCAGCTTACTGTCTATACCACTGAAAATGCCTCACGGAACAAAACCCCCATCCTCACGGCTGAGACAGAGATCCAGGGCACAAAGAAGCTGCCGGACTTGTGAAATTTCGTAACACATAGCTCCTTCGTGAAACACGTTTGACGTCTGATGCCTTGAAGGTTGCCTGATGCTTGGGGTCTGGACGCCTGTGTGATCTACAGCCTCCTAGATGGCGTGGATAGCCAAGCGCAGGCTGGAGTCTAGATGGCCTTATTCTTACGCCACATCTTCCTGACTAATGAGACACAACTTTCCTTCCTAAACGGCCATCCGCTGAAAACCGGATCCCAAAGAATTTTCATTTCTGTGTCACTTGCACAGGAAGGCTGAAGCTCTAAAGAACTCTCCCCCACAAACCCAAGAGTCAACATCTGTAAAAGCGGTCAGCCCGCAATAAAGCTATAAGATGCCAATTGAACTCATAGGGTGAGTAGAGTCATTACAAAAAGGACAAAAATAGTGAGAGTGGGGGTGTGGGAGAAAAAACAAGGAGGAAGAACCCTCCTTCGTGGAATCCTGGACTCTCCCACTAACCCGTGGTCCCTCTCCATGTGTGGCTTTACCTGTTAAGATAAGAATGATGATCACAGCAAATATGTCTGGAGTTTCAGCCAGCACTCCGGGGGCATTCAGAGCCATGTGTTTTCGAGAGAATTCCCCTATGGGCTTGCCTATCATCTCATCAAATGTGGCGCTCCAGGATCTTGCCACGCTGGAAGTGCCTGTCACGAAACATACAAGAGGAAAAGGAAGGAAAACAATTAATAGAGCATCGGCTACCAAGTTTACTGCTTAGAGCATCTAGGTGGGGATCACAGATGGTGCATGGAAACCCCAGGACATTTGAGCTCAGAAGCCAAGGATGACGGGTGTTTGCAGGGAAGCAGGAGAAGAGAAGGTCTCCAGGGCCTGGAGTGGAAGGTGTTTTCTGTCATGAACCAACAAATAATGAACTCGTGCATTCCAAACATGCTGGAAGGACAAAGAATCAAGTTCATTGGAACAGCACTACCCCGAGCAGTCAGTCATCTAGGAGGCATTTAATCCATCTTCCATTCCAAAGAGAAGCACAGGTAGGTCATTAAATCAACAACGGTTCCGTGGAACTACAGCCAGTTGGCAGATGGTTCGCACTGCTCTCGAAGCTTCCTCTTCAAACTCTCCTAGGTTACAGGCTGTCGGCAACTGCCTTGCCAGTGTTACGGCTCTTCCAGCCAGAGGGGCCAAGGAGACTCACACAGAGACACACCAGCACTTGGCTCAGGAGAAAGGCTCCTTGTCCAGACCCCAGCAACTGGATCATCTACTCATGCCAGCAGATACGGACACACAGGCGCCCAGGGTCCCCCTCACTCTCTCAGTCCCCACAGAGCATCCCACATGCCAGTAACAGCAAGAGTTCACTTGCTCTCTCTTTTGATTGGAATAAAGTCCCTGCTTTCCCAGCTGAGTTCCTCGGGACATCGCTAGAACCCAGAGCATCTTCCTCCCTTGTCTACTGGCTGATGACTGCCATTTGGGCCATCCACAGGATTTTGCCCGTATGATCTTCAGAGACACTAAGTCTTTATCCAACAGCACAAAATCAAACCACAGTTCATCTTCCTGAGCAGTCAGTCCATTAACACAGCTGTCCACCAAGGCCACAACCCACGGCAAGAAAGTGGTTGCTCCAAGTGCTGACGGGCCTCTAAGACCCGCCCAGCTCATCTTTGCACACACGTGCTCACACACACTCACACACATACACCACAGTACTCTGGGAGACAACCTCCTATCTGCTGGTCTAGAAGCAGCAGGCACTTCACGTTCAGGTAGCTCCTTGGGAGCTATAATGGACTTAAAATAGTTATGCTCCTTCTTGCCTGCCACCCCCAGATTGCAGCTTGTATGAACAGGCGCTGAAAATAATGGGAAGGTGTCACTCATAGAGCTGGGCTAGGGGGCCTCTGAAATCTGCAAATAATGGGGAGGTGTCACTTATAAAGCTGGACTAGGGTTCTCTGAAAGCTGCCCTGGGCAGGTAGCAGTGGTATCCCAATCGGCCCAGAGCTCTGAGTATAGGAGGCTACACACAGCGCCAAGCATAAGGCTCCAAAAGCGTGAACATACAAGTCAGTGGAACAACTGGCTTGCTAAAACATTAATGGAACGTGTGGAAGAGCCTTAATATATATATATATATATATATATATATATATGTAGTTCTATCTACTATGGCCTGGTTATTCATACCTTTGTTTATTCTTATGTTTAGGTGTTTCTTTTAAGCGAATGTGCCCAACTTTAATTGGATTCAAAACACACATATATGAAGAGAAAAAAAATTTTCTCACCTACCCTAGTGAAAAAGACTATTTTTGATACTGGTCAGTTGGTTGGGAGGATGGGTGGGTGGGTGGTTGGTTGGTTGGGTCCACCAAAATATTCCATTTACATATCCCTCCAAGTAAACCCACCAGCAGAGATGGTCCTGCTCCTCCTCTGGTCTCTAGTAAATGCCTGGCACAGAGAAGGGGCTCAATAACTCTGTGTTGAATAAATGAATGAGTGAATGAACGAATAAGAGAATCCGTTTCTCCGCCTTACCAGGCTCTACACTGCCTTTCATGTGCCTTTCCGTATTTCCCCAGTATTTCCACATCAGTGACCTACTGACTTTTTTTGAACAGTAAGCCTGACTAGAAACATCCCGGTGTCTCTGTGTCGCTGCATGGAGTGACCAATAGGAAGGACCAGCTTGCTGGGAAGGGCTGTCCCCACCAAAGGCCAGATGCGCCCCCAACTTGTAAACAAGGTCAGAGGAGAGAGCACAGTGCCCACCGCCCCGCCCCCCCCCCCCCCCCCCCCCCCCCCGCCAGGCTTCCTGGAACTGTGCAAGGAGAGATGCAAAGGCATGGGGTGGGGTGAGGTAGGGGATGAGGGCAAGAAGCAAAGCAGAGAAACGGGCACGGCTGCCCCGGGACTCACCGATGATGTAGGACAGGATCAGGTTCCAGCCCGTGATGAAGGCCCAGAGCTCCCCGACGGTGACGTAGCTGTAGAGGTAGGCCGAGCCTGTCTTGGGCACCCGCGCGCCGAACTCGCCGTAGCACAGACCCGCCAGCACCGAGGCCAGCGCCGCGATCAGGAAGGAGATGACGATGGCCGGGCCTGCGTCCTCGCGGGCCACGGCGCCGGCCAGCACGTACACGCCGGCGCCCAGCGTGCTGCCCACGCCCAGCGCCACCAGGTCAAAGGTGTTGAGGCAGCGCGACAGCTGGCTCTCCTCCCGGCTGCAGTCCACCACCTTCCGCCGCAGCATCTGCTGCCCGATGCCAAGCAGCAGCTTGCACCCCATCGCGCTCCTCTGGGCCGCCTGCGGGAAGGAGGCACAGGGAGGGGCCTTTCAGCGCTAGTGGCTGCCCGCTCGCCCCCGGCCCCGGTCACCGCACACCTGCACATGGCAGCCGACACACCCGGCCTCTGCTGGGAAAACACTGAATTCCTGAGCTCCGGAGGGGCTGTCCCGGTGCTGGGCGCCACCAGCGCATTTTACACCAAGGGGGGCCCTGGGGCCAGTGACACCTGCTGTTTCTTTCTTGTTTTTTTTTTTTTTTTTTTTTTTTTTTGCTTTTCAGGTCACACCTGGCGATGCTCAGGGGTTACTCCTGGCTTTGCACTCAGGAATTACTCCTGACAGTGTGCTCAGGGGACCATGTGGGATGCTGGGAATCGAATCCGGGTCGGCCGCGTGCAAGGCTAACGCCCTACCCTCTGTGCTGTCACTCCAACCACGACACCTGCTGTTTAGCGGGTGGTCCCAGTGTGGATAGTCACCTTAGTTTTCCTGAGCTGAAAGCCTTAAGCCCACAGAAATGACAGAGTATGAGCGCCTAGCTCAGGGCAGAATTCCTGCCCTGGGGGGGTAAAAAAAAAAAATCACACGAAACTCAGCAGGAAAAGCAAGGCGTTCTTAGAAGCACACAATTACCAAGTGCAAACGAAGCCAACCAAGCCATGTTTCAGTCTGATAATTTGAAACCCAAAGGCTCTGGGGGCAATGACAAGGCTTCTCGGACCTTTCTGGGATCCCGTGATTTCAGCTTTTGTTTGTTTGCGGAGCCTGCTTGGCAGTGCTCGGGGGGACCTTACATGATGCCAGGAACTGAACCCAGGTCCTCTGGATGCAAGACCAGCACCCCAGTTTCTGCACTGATTCTCCAGCCCCAGAGAGACTTCAACTCTGAGGTTAACAGAGTTTTGTGCTGGACCGAGAAACCCTGAACAAATGGGGGCTTTGGGACGTGAGAGCAGGGTCCAGCTGACTCCTGGGGAACACTGCTGGGTCGGCAGAGGAGGCGAGTGGCTGTAACACAAGGCTGCGGCCACGCACCCTCACTGGGATACACCAGTGGCCATCGTGGGCAGCATCTCAGGCCAGCATGGATGTGGCTCTCCTGACACAGGGCGTGGCCTTGCTGAGGTGCTCTGTCCCCGGCCACAGGGCCTGCTGGCCAGCCCAGGATCAGTCCCCAGGCTGGGGTGGGGGGAGGAGCAGGGGAGGAGAAACTGGCTCCTGCTCGGGAGAGTGGACTGCCCAGGAGGCTGCCACAGAAGATGGCCTCAGCGTGGAGAAACGCCACCTTTCCACAGAGAAACTGGCACACGCTTCCTTATCTTCACAATCAAGTCCCGCTGATGACATGTAAGAAGGACTCAGGGACACATAGCCTTCCTCACAGACCCAGAACCCACACCTCAAACACTAGCCTCGGAGAAATCACCCCAATCCAGCAGGAGCCTGGTCACACTCCTCAGAACTTTCTGGCAGGGCCATCACAAAAGCCTGAGAAATGGTTACACACACAGAGAAGGGTCCTACACAGCCACGATGACCGCCGAGGGACTCAGCCACCAGGAAAGGATGACAGGATGGCCACAGAACAGCGTGTGGATTTCAGTAGCACTGACATTGTCCCACTCATGATTACATTCTGACTCTGGGCGGGTGGTCACTCTGGGTCAGCGCCACAGTAAATGCCTGATTCATTAGCAGTAAATGCCTGATTTCTGTACCTACTGTGTATTCCTGGGGTCACGTGACACTTTCTGTTGTGAACAGGGGTCATGAGTGAGAAGTTTCAGCAACTAGGGAAGAAAGGGGAGGACTCTGTACCTTCTTTCCAATGTCCCAGTAAATCTAAAACTGTTCCAAAGGTCCATTTGTCAAATGAACTGTGATGAATTTTTTGTTACCGAGGGAAGAAGCAAATGTTTTTTTTTAATTCATCTTTTCATCCACCGCTATGTTAGAGTGAAAACGGCGGTGTAGAGGGGGCATATTATAGGAATGTCTTTGAGTCAACCACAAAGACCCTGGCCACTGGTCCCAGGCCACCTGCAAGCTGGCCCCTACCCCCAAGAGACTTGGGGTGATTTGAAGACATTACTTTCTCTCAGAGCAATAGCACAGCGGGCGAGCACTCACCTTGCACACAGCCAACCCAAGTACAATCCCAGGCATTCCCTATGGTCAGTAGGTACTGCCAGGAGTAACTCCTGAGCACTGCCAGGTGAGGCCCAAAATAGAGAGTGAGAGAGAGAGAGAGAAATCACTTGCATGCAATCTGCATTTCCTCTAGCCTAGAACCGCTACTGCTTCAGAGATAAGAGCTCCAGCTCTGACTGATCCGTGAGCGCAGAGCTAGTAACCTCACCTGAGCACAGAGCCAGGAGCACCCTCTAAGCACCGCCAGATGAGGTTTGACCCACCCCACCCCAAAAACAAAGAGCTCCAATTCCAAACGGGCCTTCTCTTCTTCTGCATCAGGTTGTTAGCGAGTACCACTCGCCCATCGGGGGAAATGCTTCAGTCCGCTTGCCTGCCCGCCGGCACAGTGGATATGCTAGAGCCCAGCCCCTGAGGGGGAGAGCAGGGTAGCTACTGGGGGCGGGGGGGCGGCCTCCTCCCAGGGACCCTCAGGCCACACTCTGAGGAGGACATTTTTCTTCCTCTCCTGCAGGTAGTGGTGATGTTTTTAGTGAGTAACTTCCACTGACCAAACCCTGCTGCAACTGAGGCCACTGGAATACAGACCCATTCATCGGGGGTGACCCAGGCCTCCGGGCCTGGAGCTGCTACCCACGTGTAGCCTTAGGGCCCCTTGGCAGGGCCGTGTCCAGGCAGAGGGTCACAGCTGGCGGGTCACAAAGAGGCGAGACTTCCACCAGACCCATCAAGCTCTCAGATGGAGGACTATGGGGCCGGAGTGATAGTACAGCGGGTAGGGCGCTTGTCTGGCACACGGCCGATCCGGGTTCAATCCTCAGCACCTCACATGGTCCCCTGAGCATCTGAGAGCAGAGCCAGGAGTGATCCCTGAGCACCCGCTGGGTGTGGCCCCAAAATCAAAACCAAAAAAATAGAAAAGAACAAGGAATGCAGGACTTTGGCTCTGCTGCCTGGCTCAAAGGTGAGGAGAGAATTCCCAGCACCACGGGCCACACGAGTCGGGGCATGGAGGCAGCACCCACTGTCCAGCTGGGGCCCCTGCGCTTCTGGTGGGGAGGAAATGCTATCACAGGGGAACTCGGCGGGGAGGAAGCAGGCTGGAAATGAGTGACGGTGACGTGGCCCGGGGAGCGGTTGTGAGTGGGGCTGGAAAGGGCAGGAGAGAGCCGAAAGGGCAGGCGGAAGGAGCACAGGACCAGCCCTGCCTCCAGGGCTCTGGTTCCTAGGGACACCCAGTGACTGAGCGCTGAGTCAAACCAAGGTGCTTCAGCAAGGCAGGGAGGCCTGGGGACGCAGACTCCAGGCTCTCAGTGGCACAGGGGGGTTCCCAGGTCAGGGGAGGCCCTGGCATTGTCCAAGATGTAAAGTCTTCCTGGAAACATTCTTTTTTAGGGGGTGGAGCCACACCCTGCGATGCTCAGGGCTCACACCCAACTGCACTCAGGAATAACTCCTGGCAGGGCTTGGGGTACCATATGGGATGCCAGGGATTGAACCTGGGTGAAGTACAAGCAAGGCCAGTGCGCTTTCCACTGGACTACCCACTGGACTACCCTTCCAGCCCCATAAAGCATGGATTTTATTTTTCTTTCCCTTTTCTGGTTTTGGTTTTCATTTTGGGGGGCTCATACCAGACACTGCCCAGGGTTTATTCTTGGCCCTGTGCTCAGGGATCACTTGTGGAGGGGATTAGGGCTCCTGTGGGGGTAAGGGAGCTAGAACCTGGTTCAGCCTCCTGCAAGGCAATTACCCGACCCGCTGTGCGGTCACTCTGGCCTCTGGAAACGCCTTCCTGCTTCCTTCTATGAACTGGAGTCACTCAGTCAGACGGAAAAGCATCACACAGCCATTAGAAACTCAGGATCAGACAAGGCAGAAGGGAAAAGGCAGCACGTTAACATGAGAAGCCTCGGGAGAAGATGCTGTGTCACAACGGAGTTGAGAGTCCTCTTGGCAGCACGGGCAGGTACAGTACCTGGTGGCCACGGCCAGTCTGAGCACCACGGCCAGCCCCCTGGGGCAGGAAGGTCATCAGCCATTGATATGGGGCTGGAGGCAGAGTACAGAGGGGAGGGCATTGGCCTTGCACACAGCAAACCTGGTTTCAATCCCCAGCACCCCATATGGCTCCCTGAGCCCTGCCTGGAGTGACCCCTGAGCACAGAGCCAGGAGTCTGCCCTGAACCCTGCAGAGGGAAAAAAAAAAAGCACCACTGTTCTATTGCCATGGCTACAGCGGCCACGGGCAGATAGGAAAGGTTGTAGGTGCTAAAGCTCCTTCCCTGGACTGGTGATGGCGGAGAGTGTGTGGCCTGCTCCCACCCCTCTGAGTTGGAGTGTCTGGTTCACAGTCACTGAGTTTCTGGCCCCAAAAGAGCAAGTCGAGTGCAAGGCAATGGTCACACAGTCCAGTCGCCTTGCTGAGGACCGGCCTGCAAGGTTAGTGAGCCCCCTGACCTCTGTGGGAGAAGCTGCACACCACCACCACCACCACAACCCCTGCCCCCGGGGAGGGCCAGCATAATCACTCCCCTGAAGCTTTGAGGGACCCCCAGGGATCTGTGGCCATCGGCAGTGCGGGAGGGTTTCCCAGCCACTTGAGAACAGGAAGGGAGTCGGAGCGGGGTGACCTCACCTCTGGCAGAAGTGACCACTGGATGTCACCAGTGGACACACTCATCTCCCAAACCCACCTCACACCTGAAAATCTAATCCAAGAACTACTCACTCAAGGGGGCGGATGGCACCATCTGCAAACAAGTGGGCTTGGCCATGAACTCCGGAATTTTAGAGACAGACACAAGCTCTCAATCAGTGAGCAGGGAACTTTGTAGAGACTAGGCAGGCCTACACAGGCGTACTTT